AAAACTGGGGTGGGGAAAGATGGCACTGTAGGGAGTAGCATAATGCTCTCGACTGAGAGGTCAAAAAATTGTTTAGATGACCCAGTTTGTCTAGAAGAAATGGCAGCTGCAAAGGAGGGTGGAGGAGAAGGATGCCTCTTGTAACTTCTGCCCCCTCTTTTTTGACAGGTCTTGAGAATGTGGCACGAATGTTACCTGCACACTCTAGGGCACCCCACCTTTACCCTTCCGTGAGCTCAAAGTGTAACCCAGTTAATTTAGGCACCCCCACCTTACGGCTCTGGGTGAAAGGCACCTACCTTTACCCAGTTCCTAGGGCTCAGGGCCACCCTTACCCAGTCCCTAGGGCTCATGAGGTAATCTCCCGCGGTTTTGCTGAGCATTTTACCAGTGAAAGAGCCTTACACAGTAATATCCTTAACCTCAGTTTATTAACAGTTACCAAAACAGAATACACACGCTAAATATACAATGCTCACCACTCCCAGTAAGGCAGATGGACTTTTCCTGATGGCCAGTCCAGACCAGATTATCCAGGGGTCCAGCTTCTGCACAACATAGCTGGCAGGGTGTTGAGTTCTGGCAGCTCTGGTCTTGGGCTGTGTCCTGGAGTTAGGTTCCAAAGAACTTCCTTTTGGACCCCAGTTTATATAGTTAAACGTGAGTCCTGCTTAGCTATACCGTAACAATCATTTTAAACTAAAGTACTACAAAACAGTATTTTTCACCAATCCTAACCCATTATGAAACAATTATTTAACCAATCGTATCCCACCACCTTAGCTGATTTAAATCTTGCAAAGTTAGTTATGCAACAGACAGAAACAATCAAAGAATCAGACAGAAACCATACAGATAAACAATGGAGAAATAGGGACCATAAAAGCAAAACAATAAAGAAGTATAGATTTCACAAGCACAACTGTTGATAAGTGATTCCTTGCGAGACAGGATGCTATCAAACAAAGTTTTCTTTAACCATTGTGACAAAGCTCTGTCCTTGTCTCCATGGGTCCCACTTTTCCTGGCAGATTTTGCTAGCCTCAGAGGCTCACTGTGACCCTCCACGTAGCCCTTCTCTCTCTAGAGGCAAGGGTCACAGCCTACTGAGCCATTTTCATCATAAGCCAGCGAGGGAGGTGAGGAGAAACTATCCTCCCTTGCACAGTCACTGTTGTCTCCCAGTCTCAGTGATTAATCGGGGGAAGGGGGAGCAAAGGGGGAAGCCCGGGCCTGCCCTCTACTCTGGGCTCCAGCCCAGGGACCCTAATAGTATCAGCTATGGTAGCTGACCTTTTAGAAACGGGATACGTACAACTCCCTAGGCTTCTTCCCCACAGCAGCCCCCACTTCCTCAAGCTCCACTTCACCCTTACCTCAGGGCCTCCTTCCTTGTGCCTGATATGGTGTGTACTGCTCAGTCTCTCCAACAGCACAACTTCCTCCCACAGCTCCTGACACGCGTGCCCACCTGACTAACTGGGAGGTTTTTAACTAGTTTCAGCCAGCCCCTGATTGGCTTCAGGTGTCCCAATCAACCTAGCTGTCTCCACTGCTTTCTGGAAGGATCTTAATTGGCCCCAGGTGTCTTGATTAACCTGGAGCAACTGCCATTTGGTTACCATGGTAACAGGGATTTGTTTAGCCTGGGGCTAACATACTTGTTTCTCACTGCTTTCCTATAGCCATCTGGCCTTGCCCCGTCACACCATCTTAAGATGGGTTTCTTTATCTGGTGATGGTGGGTACTATTAGGACAAGAGCACCTTCTTAACAGCTCAATATTATATTGTTTTGATGCAATTTAGATGGAATGTGAGGATGTGACTCTCTGCTTCTTAGCTTATGGTTGCTGCTGCTTACTGCAGAAAAAAGCCTCAGAACTTACAGAAGGTCTGAAGCTGGTGGGAATGCTGTGGGCTCTCTTTTTGCTGCTAGTCTATAGATCCCCACAGACTTAAGGGTTGCCCTTGAATCCTTAAGACTATAAAGCGTCTCTTCTATTTTATTGGAAAACAGTAAGGGACTTTCAAAAAGAAGGTCTTGAATTGTTTGTTACACTTCTTAGGGAAGGCTGATGACTGCTGCCAAAATGAACACTGCATAGTGATGGAGGAAGCCATAGCTCGAGCTGCAATCTGCCTCATCCAGGTTTGCCTGCAACATTGTCAAGGCAACTAATTTGTCCTCCTCCACTATTACAGAGAACTCCTGCTTTGTCTCACCATGAGGCTTGTCTTTGAACTTCAGGATATTATCCCATAGGCTGAAATTGTAGTGCCCGAGAAGAGCTTGCTGGCTCGCAATCCTAAGCTGTAAACTCCCTGCAGAATAAAAAGTTTCCTGCCAAAAAGGTCTAGCTTATTTGCTTCCTTTCCCTTTGGAGTAAGAAGCCTAGAGTCCCTGCCTCTCTTTTTCACTGGCAGCAGCAATCACCAGGAAGCCCGAGGAGGGTGGTTGTAGAAATGGATCCCTGTAAAGGAACATAATAGCTCTTCTCCACCCTTTTAGCAGTTGGAGGCAGGGAAGAAGGGGTCTGCTATAAAATCCTGACAGATTCCAGATTCCCCCTTAGAGGGTCCTTCCGAGGCAAAAATGTCCATGAGCCTGTGTGACCTTTCCTGTACCTCTTCTGTTTGGATATCCAGAACTGCTGCGACCCTCCTCAACAAATCTGGATGAGCTCTGAAATCATCAGGAGGGGGAGAGGTAGACTCATTCACTCTGCCTCATCAGGTGATGTAGAAGAATAGGCTAAGTGTGTTGAGAAGGTCGCTCCTCCAATTCCTCTAAAGAAGAGTACTGAGCATGTGTTTCCATCTGCATGGTACTGGTCTTAGTACCAGGTGCAGGGCCGGCTCCAGGTTTTCTGCCATCCCAAGCGGCAAAAAAAAAAAAAAAAAAGTCGCGGCAGCACGATTGTGCTGCTCCACTCTTCGGTGGCAATTCGGCGGCAGGTCCTTCGCTCCGAGAGGTACTGAGGGACCCGCTGCCGAATTGCCGCTGAAGACCCGTATGTGATGCCCCAATAGCGGCTGGAGTGCCGCTCCTTGGTATTGGCCGCCCCAAGCACCTGCTTCTTTAACTGGTGCCTGGAGCCGGCCCTGACCAGGGGAGAGAAGATGATGACCTCCCTGCAGATGCTCCTGGTGCCTAGCTGAGGTAGAAAGGTGGGAAGGGAGCAGAGAGGCTCTCTAATGTGGAGGGAAGACCTCAGGGGTCCAACAGGGCCATTGGTACTGAGGTAGGACCCAGCTACGTGAGGCCACTGGCTCTTAGAGTGCTGAGGCTGTGATTGGTACCACGGCAGGCAGGCATCCCACTGGAGCTACTGTGCATGCTTGGGGCAATAAAGGTTCAGCTTCAGAGTCTGATGAGGAGCCCCCTTCCGCACACCATGGGGGAACTGACCTGTCAGTACCTGAGAGCCAAGCTCTGAGTCTGGAGAAGGGGATACTGGTAATATCATTGCTGGCTTGCCTCTAGATGGAATCCTATTCAGAGGTGCCCTGAGAGAAGAAGTGGTCGGTACTCAACAGTGCTCTGGGGCTGGACTTTGGATGGTAGAAGTGTGTAGTTCCAATCCAACTGTGTGAGATTCCTGAATTGCAGGAAAAGACGGCACTGACAGGTTATGGATATCCCTGGCTACCTCAAAAACCTCAGGTGTTGACAGCACAGGAAAGGGGTCCTGTGTCTGCAGTACCGAAAGGTATGCTAGGTCATTCAGAGATTGGTCTCAATGGACCCTTTCTGGGTTCTGGAGTCAGCAATTCCTCCTGGCTTATAGAGTGCTTCTGGGGGTGCGACTTCTTTGAGCACCCCTCTGAGTCCTTGCGTCAACTCAGAGCCTTTGTAGTAGACTTGGAAGGCCCCCACTACTGAGTCTTTAAGAAACTTATGCAGTATCTTCTTAGGCACCAGTGATGTGGATCTACCTGTGGACTCCGTCAGATCAAGTCTAGCACTCCTGACTGACTTGGATGTTCTTGGTACCCATACAGAGTGGAAAAGTTCCAACAGTGGATGAAGCATAGACTCCCTAAGCTGGTACTCAAGTCAGGCAGCCCTGTCCATTTTCGAGAAGTGTTTGAAACTGCTACAAATGTGACATTTGTCACTTATCTGAGCATCTCCCAGACACTTAAGTCAGCTGGGGTGTGGGTCACTCACAGCATAGACCTGTTACATGAACAACAGGCCTTAAAGCCAGGAGAACAGGGCATTAGTTTGGTACCAAACTGGGTACTCAACTGGGCATTGGTAACCCTACACTAAAAAAATACTAATCTATACTTATTCTTATAACTAACTATTTACAGATATCCTACAGATATACTAAAACCTAACACTACAGGTATTATATGCACTAAGGATGGGAAGATAAGTAGATACAAAGATCACATCTCCAACAACAACAACCACCATCGCTAGAAGTAGGAAGGAACAGAGAGGGGTTGGGGACAGCGTGGCCCTTGATACCTGTGTGCAGTGGTACGAGGCAACAGAGGCCCAACGGGTACAGCTGAGGGAAAAATCTCTGACAACTGTGCACAAGGCTCGCGCACATGTACAGTGCAATGGACATGTGCAATCACTCCAAGAAGAACACAAATTCTAGCTGTTTCTATGCATTCCATCTATAGTACATACTGTACATTAATTTCCATCGTCAGTAATTTTAATATGATGATAAATCTGTAAATTCTGAGGTGTCCTATGTATCACCGAGGGCCTGATTGGTTCCACCATCCTTACTCAACATAATGGAGGGTTGCTGAAATGGGCCCTGAGTTCTTATATTAGATAAAGCTCCCACTATTTAATCACATATCTCATATAAAATTGCTTACATGTCTTACAACACATGCAAGTAGTGTCAGGCAGAGACTAATGACTGCAGAATTAGACCCAAAGTTTATATCAATTACATGCATGGTTCAATAATTACCTGAATTATATTTCAAGCACTTGTGTTTGGGTGAATTAATCAGTTTTACCTGATGATTCAGCTTCTTGTTCTGAAGAATTGTCAGTCTTTTCTGTGTGAACATAAATATTAATATCTATTAACAGCGCAACACTAATTCATTTGTTTATATATAATTTAGTTAATTATACCTTTAGAATGTTTTTACATAACTCATGTTTACACAGCTCCAACTTCCATTCCTTCACAGCTCACATCCCCTACACCCAAATCATTCCCCACCCATTCCTTCCCAATACCCCATATCCTATATCTATTACAAAATATAAAAATTTAGATAAAGTCAATGGCAAAGTATTATAGATGGATTGGTTGTGGAGGGTTATGAAGGAGTGTGAATTGGGTATGTGGTATGTGGAGAAGATATGGAAGAGACAGAGCTGGGTACTCAGCGTGTGAGAGTTGAGAATGAGTATGTGGTGTGGAGGGATTGGTCAGGTATTAAAGAAAAGTAAGTTGGATTGTGAAGGCTGTGAGTTGAATGTGAAGGAAGTCTGAGACTGACATAGACATGTGGAGATTGTAAGGATGGTTGAATCAGGTGTGTGCCTCCTGGAAGCATAAAAGTTGCATATATATCAACAGAATAAAGTAATTTGAAGTATTGCCAGCGTATGCACCACAGCCTTAGTACTTTTTTTCTTAACCACCTACGAAAAACTCTTGTGCTATAGAAAAAAAAAGTGTATGGAAACAGCAGACTTTTCACCAAAATGCATGCCTAACTCCTATCAAAGTCAATGGGAATTTTTTTGCACATGGAGAAATGTAGCATTAGTATCAAAAGTACCTATCCTCACTGCTTTCAGAACAAACTGCAAAACTCACGTTTTCAGTTTAGCTTTTCCGCAGAACAACAAATAAGAAGATTTAAAATATTCTGACAATGGAGATGAGAAAAGGAGAAAGGGAAAAAATATATTTTCTTTTTTGAATATATGGCACTTGGATAGCACATAATGGTTGTGGGACAAAATAGATAAATATTTCTTTACCTTTGCTGGTGTCAGATCTTGTATCTCTACTCTGCTCTTCCATGCTTCTTTCTTCCTCAGGCTTAGTGGCCTCACTTTCTTCATATTCATCTGTTTCTTTGTAACTACCAGTTTCTTGGGCATCTATTACAGCTGTGAAATATCATTACATTTACAGAAGTCATAGCATAAGACAAAAACATATTTCTTTGAAATTACTTCTTTGACCCTAATTTCAGTAACTATTTGTCTTGAATAAAAACAGAAGCAAAATACTGTACCTGAAAAAGTTAAAAAACAAAACAAAACAGAAAAAGCATTTAAAAACATTATAAAGCACACTTGATGTGAGCATTTCTATAATCTTGATAGAGTGCAATGATTCTAAATATTGTCAAACTTAGAAATTTCTTTTTTTTTTTTGGAACACAGAATGTCCGTGAAATATGATGCAACTGCTGGCTTCCACCCCACAACTTAGCATGCTGGTAGCCTCCATGAAGCCAAGAACACTAGCAGCAGGGGCTTGGACAACAACAAGAGAGGAAAACACAACACCTGCAACCACTGGTCTCCTCCATGAAGTTAGAAATACCACCAGCCACCTCCACCATCCCCTCAACCCTCTTGTGTAGAAACATCATTTTCCCGCCTCAATTTTCTTGAGACTGAGATCTGACGAGAAGAGGGTGCCCTTTGTACCCTGTTCTGAGGACCTTTCTTTGTGTGCTGTGCCATGACAGCTTTGCTTTTCTGATCCCCATGTGCATGATGGCCAAAAAAGTAGAGTAAAGCTGTCAAGAGCTGCAGAATTGGAGGACTGGGATCATACTGGAGGTGTGAGCCTTGTGTTCTCAACTGTGATGAGCATAAGGAGATAAAGCAAGAGGGGACTGATATCTGTGTGAAAACCAATTGTTTAATACTTATTAACTATCACACTAGTTCATCATTGGGTCTTATTTAAAAGCACAGGGCAGTGGCTAACAGTGACCCTAGTTAGCAGCTCATACTGTTTAGTACAGGTTGGTGGTTAACAGAATCATCCTGATCCATGTTCTAATCATGGAGGAGGCCCCTGACTTTTTTTGTAGTGGTGAGAAGCGGTAGGTGACTCAGCTGTCCTTGTTCTAGTCAGTCAATGTGAGTTCCATGTAGAAAGTTTGTAGAAATACACTTCACACTGACATTCTTTAGCTTCATTTAGTGCACAAAATCACTAAAAAGAAGAGGAGAGTGAGGCAAAAGATGATGAATGGATATAGGACATTCTCATTAATGGGTTGATGTCTCAAAACCTTCAGTAAAGCTCATCCAAATTTGAACGGATGTTTTCATTGGTTACTTAATGTACTCCTAAAAAGAAGAGAGGGTTACTCACCTTGTGCAGTAATTGAGGTTCTTCGAGATGAGTGTCGTGTGGTTGCTCCACTGCAGGTGTCGGTGTGTCCCTGCGTCATAGATCGGAGATTTTCAGTAGCAGTGCTCAGTCGGGGCACGCGTGCATAGTAGTCATCTTGCGGTGCCATTGGCACCTCATCTAGCACATGCATGACCCAACACCTTCAGTTCTTTCTCTACTGCAGAGCTCTTTTAGCGAACTCTGAAGTGGAGGAGAGGCGGGTGCCTAGTGGAACACACATCTAAAGAACCTCAGTTACTGCACAAGGTGAGTAACCCTCTCTTCTTCTATGAGTGATGTCCCTGTGAGTGCTCCACTTCAGGTGATTGTAGAGCAGTGCCCCACTGTGGATGGAAGGGGCTTCAGATTCGCGTATGTTGTTACACAGAGCATAGTAAGGCCTATTATAGCATCTGACATAGAACTTTAAGTGATGGCATAGTGATGTGCAAAGGTATGCACAGAAGCCCAGGTAGCTACCCTGCAAATGTCAATTAGAGGTACATTGTTCAAGAAGGCTATAGACATTGCTATGGAATGTGTGGAGTGGTATCTGATCCCTCGTGGGTGTTTTGTGTTATGCAGTCGATAGCAAAGTTGGATACATGTAGAGATCCATTTGGATAGTCTCTGGGTTGATATTACGCATCCGTTGGAGCGTTCTGTTGTGGAAATAAACAGCCTTGGAGATTTCCAGAAGGGCTTGGTTCTGTCCAAGTAGAACGCTATGGCTCACCTGATGTCTAGTGTATGTAGAATGGCCTCTTATGAGTTCCCATGTGGTTTGGGGTAAAATGTGAGGAGGTGCATGGGTTGATTTATATGAAAAGATGTTAATATTTTAGGTAAAATTTTTGGGTGTGGTCTCAACGTGACTTTGTCCTTAAAGAATATGACATGGGGGGATCAGCCATTGGTGCCTCAATCTCACTCACTCATCTAGCTGAGGTGCTCGTGACCAAAAATGTGACTTTCATAGATAGATGAAGGAGTAAGCAGTTCGCCAAGGCTTCAAAAGGGGCTCTGGTGAGGCATATAAGCACAAGGTTTAAAACCCATGTGGGTGAAGATTATTGGACTTCCGGGTAAATGTTCTGTATGCCAGTGAGAAAGTGTTTAGTGACTGGGTGTGCAAATATGGAGGGTCCCTCAAACTTAGGGTGAAAGGCTGTAATAGCCGCTAGGTGAACTTTAATTGAGCTTATGGATAAGTCTGATTCCTTCAGTTCCAGTATGTAGTCCAGTATGAATGGGAGTAGTGCTGTGACTGCAGTCAACTGTTTTTGTTGGCACCATAGTGAGAATCAATTCCATTTTTGGAGATAAGTATTGCAAGTGGTGGATCTCATGCTATTTAATAACACGTTTCACTTGTTCTGAGCAGGCTAATTTGTCATATTGGAACCAAGTAGGAGCCACACTTTGAGATGAAGTTTCTCCAGATTTGGATGCGGTGTCCTGCCTTTGTTCTGTGAAAGGAGATCCGCCCACAGTGGAAGAGTTCGTGGGGCACAGACCACTATGCGCATCAGGTAAGGTTACTATGTCTGTCTGGCCCACATTGGAACTAATCAGTATGATATGGGACCTGTCAGTCTGTATCTTGTGAATTACTTGCGAGATTAGTGGTATCGGTGGGAATGCATATATGAGTGACGCATCCCATGGAATGAGGAAGGCATCCCCCAGTGACTGGGGTCCCAGTTCTGCCCTGGAGCAGAAGAGTGGGCACTTGTGGTTTATTGATGATGCAAACAGGTCTACAGAGGGAAAGTCCTATTTCTAGAATACTGACTGGAGGACTCTGTTGTTTATTTCCCATTTGTGCTCCTGGGAGAAATGTCTGCTTAGCATGTCCTCCATCATGTTCTGGCAACTGGGGAGGTAGGATGCTGCGATGGTTACATTGTGGAGTATGCACCAGTTTCATGGCCTCGGTGCATAGTGAGTGGGGACGAGCTCCTCCTTGGCAAATGATATAGAACATGGATGCTATGTTGTCGGTCAGTATCTGGATTGACTACAGCTGGTGAGCTTGGTAACCCCAGCTCTAAGGCAGCCCCCCAGGTGGACAGCCCTCGAGCCAGGGGCCCTGTAACCCACGATCCCAGCAGCCTGCTAGGCGGGCTCTGAGGAGTGGAGGAAACATGGAATTGGGAACAATTTTTTAATGGAATATCAAAAATTTCTAGCAACATTGAAATTTTCATCTCTAAAATTTTGATTTTGCAGAAAATGAATTTTGTGTTGGAAAATCATTCTGATGGAAAATTCTTGACCAGCTTTAGTCAGAACCATATTTTGAAGCTCCTTAGTGCATAACTATCACCCTCAATTCTAGAATATTTATATTCAATGTTCCACTTTGCCATTTCCCTCATTTGATCCCCATGTATATACACATTTAGTTAATATTTAACATATGATTTCCTTAATATTCTAATCACAGTTTTTCTGGAAAAGATTCTGGCTTGAAAATAAAACTGTGGAAAAGAACACAGCTTAATACAACATAGCATACCCATAGAGTAGACACAGCTGGGTAAAACAGTGAAGCCCAAAGAGAAATCCCATGCTTTGTGTAATTACTTTCCAGAACAACTTTACATCTCTATAACCATGATGCCATTTATATGTGCTGATAGAGGGTTTAAAACATTCCCAAATAGTAGCTGCTTTATTTAACTAACCTAAAAGCAAACAAGACAGCCCAAAAAGCTGGGAAACACCTTATTCACCTTGCTCTTTTAACATTTTTTCTATTTCCAGCTTATTTTTCACTTTTGTAATTGCAACATCTATTGCATCAATACGAGCTTGCTCAATGACTTTTTTCCTTGCTTCTTCCATACATGGTTGAATAAGTTTGTCCATATCAAGAACCTAAAGAAAATATTTGAAAACATAAAAATAAATCTAAGGCTTGGTCTACACTAACCCCCCAAATCGAACTAAGGTACGCAACTTCAGCTACGTGAATAACGTAGCTGAAGTTCGAAGTACCTTAGTTCGATCTTACCTCGGTCCACACGCGGCAGGCAGGCTCCCCCGTCGACTCCGCGGTACTCCTCTCGCCGAGCAGGAGTACCGCAGTCGACGGCGAGCACTTCCGAGTTCGACTTATCGCGTCCAGACAAGACGCGATAAGTCGAACCCAGAAGTTCGATTGCCAGCCGCCGAACTAGCGGCTGGGTATAGACGTACCCTAAATAATTAATCTTAATAAAATTTGATACATAGATGAACATATGCACAGATTCAGGCACAGATCACGCAATTCTGCAGTCAGTTACAATAGTAATTGTATTTGGAAAAACTACACAGATTTCAGTGAAAGCGGCATTTGTCTCATAGTTTGTTTGTGCAGTGAGTTATTTACAAGTTGTTACGAATTTTTCTTCTCTTATGTGCAAAAGATAAGACACAGACTCCCCACACAGTTAATGTAAATAACTGACAACTATCTTCCCCGTAAAGGAAAAATTAGGAGTATCATAATTGTAACCTCCAAAATAGGTTACTTTCCTGTAACTAGATTTCACAAAATTACTGCGTTTTTTCCACAAATCCATACATTTTGAATGTGTGCACTAATGACCCACTAAGAACATAAACCTACTCCTCTACCCCGATATAAAGCTGTCCTCGGGACCCAAAAAATCTTACTGCGTTATAGGTGAAACCGCATTATATCAAACTTGCTTTGATCTGCCGGAGCGCGCAGCCCTGCCCCCCCCGGAGCGCTGCTTTACCGCATTATATCCGAATTCGTGTTCTATAGGGTCGCGTTATATCGGGGTAGAGGTGTAATTAAATGGTCTCAGCATCTCTCTCAAGAAGATATGTAGGGGGAGAGAAGTGTGATCCAAACCCTGCAATGTGCTGAGTGCCTGCTGAGAACCCTCTAACCATTATAATCAATGGGAGCTGTGGATACTTAGCACCTCTCAAACTCTGGCCTTGTATATTTAAGATACAAGATTAAATTTTGTTTCAATTTTCTCTATATCCTCCAATAAGGGCTGCCTTACTAGTCTATAGTCATACAGTCACAACATGTATACAGTTAACATAAGGAAAGATATTATACTAGTAAAAATAAATTACTACATGAAAGTATTAAGGTAAAAGATTTATTACTACACTGCATAGTAAACCCAAACTCTGACTATGTTTAAGCTCAAGCCCTCTAACACATTCCAGTATCCTCTCACAACGCGGGCTGGCTGGCTCACCCAGGGGTATAAGTATGAGCCCGTATTCTGCTGTAGCATGCGTCCAAGCCCACACATTTAGCAGTGAAGATGGCAGTAGCAGAAGCCCAAGTTGCAAGGCTTGTGTTCAAACATGCCAGCAAGTTAAAGAAGTATGGGCTGGATGAATGGACTATAAGTTGGATAGAAAGCTGGTGAGATCGTCGGGCTCAACGGGCAGTGATCAATGGCTCCATGTCTAGTTGGCAGATGGTATCAAGCGGAGTGCCCCAAGGGTTGGTCCTGGGGCCAGTTTTGTTCAATATCTTCATTAATGATCAGGAGGATGGCGTGGACTGCACTCTCAGCAAGTTTGCAGATGACACTAAACTGGGAGGAGTGGTAGATACGCTGGAAGGTAGGGATAGCATACAGAGGGACCTAGACAAATTAGAGGATTGGGCCAAAAGAAATCTGATGAGGTTCAACAAGGAGAAGTGCAGAGTCCTGCACTTAGGACAGAAGAATCCCATACACTGCTACAGACTAGGGACCAAATGGCTAGGCAGCAGTTCTGCAGAAAAGGACCTAGGGGTCACAGTGGACGAGAAGCTGGATATGAGTCAACAGTGTGCCCTTGGTACCAAGAAGGCTAATGGCATTTTGGGCTGTATAAGTAGGGGCATTGCCAGCAGATTGAGGGACGTGATCATTCCTCTCTATTTGACATTGGTGAGGCCTCATCTGGAGTACTGTGTCCAGTTTTGGGCCCCACACTACAAGAAGGATGTGGAAAAATTGGAAAGAGTCCAACGGAGGGCAACAAAAATGATTAGGGGGCTGGAGCACATGACTTATGAGGAGAGGCTGAGGGAACTGGGATTGTTTAGTCTGTAGAAGAGAAGAATGAGGGGGGATTTGATAGCTGCTTTCAACTGAAAGGGGGTTCCAAAGAGGATGGATCTAGACTGTTCTCAGTGGTACCAGATGACAGAACAAGGAGTAACGGTCTCAAGTTGCAGTGGGGGAGGTTTAGATTGGATATTAGGAAAAACTTTTTCACTAGGAGGGTGGTGAAGCACTGGAATGGGTTACCTAGGGAGGTGGTGGAATCTCCTTCCTTAGAGATTTTTAAGGTCAAGCTTGACAAAGCCCTGGCTGGGATGATTTAGTTGGGGATTGGTCCTGCTTTGAGCAGGGGGTTGGACTAGATGACCTCCTGAGGTCCCTTCCAACCCTGATATTCTATGATTCTGCCAATGATATCCCACATTTCTCTCCCCCAACTTCCCATGTGATTCCTTGAATCGGAAGCAACGTCCTGGTTTAAATACAGCTCCTGGGCATTTAACTCTTCCCTTTCCATGCTGACTGTTTGATTGTTAACACAGTTAAGCCTTGCTTATTGCCCACCTCCCAGCACACTGCTAACTGGCCAGAAGAACACACCAACATACTGGCCAAGCTGTGGTGTGAGGAGAGCAAGATCCATTACTTTGGCAGCAGTACTAGAAACCTGCATGTTTATGAAGCCACAGAGGCTGGTGGCACTGGGGATCCACCATACTGATAATCAGGCCTGGGAACAGAGTAAGTACCACAAGACTGCCTATTGCAAAGTGAAGGATGGGACTGGTGTGTCAGGGAACAACTCAGCTTGCTACCCCTACTACAAGGAATTTGATTGGTTGTTGGGAACTGCACACAGCACATGGTCAACAGTCCTGCACGACAGTCTGCTGAGCAGGGATGGCATGCTTATAAACCCATGAAAAAAGGAAGCAAGGACAAGGGACACTCTTGGAAGAGAGCCTGGAGTTGCACAGAATAGACCACAATGCTGCCACCTGGCTTCGATCAGGCTACACAGGAGGATCAGATATTGGACATCCTGGGTCAATATTTGGAGGGCCTGTTTGGGAATGACCCTGGGGAGGAGTCTGCAGAGGAAGAAACAGCACAATAAGCCCCGGAGCCAGAGCCTGGTATGTAGCAGTCACCATTTTTAGTGTTATTGCTATTAAGAATGGGGGGATTTCCAAATTATGCCCAATATAATTGTCATTACATGCTGGGTGTGTGTGTGGATTTTGCTTGTGCTGAGGCCAATAGCCATGCCATTTTTCTAAACCACCTCAGCCTGACACCATTTGGGATGTAAGATGGATTCCAGGACTGGAAAAAAATTAAACAAGCAGCAAGCATTAACTTTTTACTAGAAACACAGTTATTGTTTGAAAGAGGTTTGGGGTATTAGCCTTCTGAAGCACAGATTCATATTTTTTTTTTGCATGTACAGTTCTGCTTATAAGTTGGCTACAGGGCCAGCTCTAGGCACCAGCAAAACAAGCTGGTGCTTGGGGCGGCACATTTTTAGGGGCGGCATGTCCGGCGCCAGAATGCCGCCCCTAAAAATGTGCCGCGGCCGCCCTAGCTCACCTCCGCTGCTGCTGCCACGGCGCGCGAAACAGCTGATTCGCGCGCCGCTACTCGCCCTCCCTCCCAGGCTCTCAAACCTGGGAGGGAGGGGGAGACTCCGAGTGGCCGCGGCGCGGGCGCCGCTTCTCCCCCTCCCTCCTAGGCTTGAGAGCCTGGGGGGAGGAGGCAGGGCTGGGGATTTGGGGAAGGGGCGGAGTTGAGGCGGGGCCGGGGGGGGGGGCGCGGCCAAAATTGTTTTTGCCTTGGGCGGCAAAAATCCTAGAGCCGGCCCTGGTTGGCTATGCCAGAATGCCCTCCTGGCACAGCTGTAGTCTTCTGTGGATAAAGGGCAAAGTACATGCTCAAAGATGAGCTTGGAAAGCATGGGTTTGCATGCGCAGGTACACGAATATGGGTCTACTAAGCGGTGTGGACATAGCCTTAGTGGAATGAGAGGGTGGCATGTATCACTGTTTGAGATCAGACATATCGATAGTCTTCACATCAAACTGCTGTGACTAAAGACAATCTGAACAATATGTACTACTTTTAAACAGAAGTGAAGAGCATACGTATAGTATCTTACATCTAACATCCTTACTACTATTCAAATAACATTCTAAAATCTGGAAGTCTAACCCTACAAGTTACTTAAAAATATTTATATATACCCACCTTTCCTTTATATTTGTTTGCAATCCAGTTACAAAGAGTTGTTTTTCCAGACAATGGAGGTCCAAATACTACTACTTTACAAGGAGGAAGTGGCATAGGTGGTAGCAGATAGGGACGTGGATTCAACATAAATTCTCTCAATGCTTCTTGAGATGAAAATAAATACATTTTACCTAGGAAACTTTAAAAAAATTGAAAAATATACATGGTTAATCTTAAAACATAGATCTAACACCCAAATCATACCAAATTTTGCTTACCTGACAGCTAAATCTGGAAGCCCCATTACAATGTTACCCTCTTTTAAAGCTACAGGACATGCTCGACCCCACCTGCTTCTACACCATCGGTATCTAGGTGCTATTATTTTGAAGGATGAAAGAGTCCGGAAAAGTTCATCCTGTTAATTAGAACAACAATAAAAGTATATGTACCTTTTTACCTATATTTTGTATATGCCCTATTTTGTGTGGTTTATCATTTTGAAATATTTTCTAAGAAAGTGAGTATACCCTTCTTAAAGAATTGTTGCACTGTGCTTAGTAGCTCTTTTAAAACCAAAATATGTGAATTCATTAAGTTTTTTTCAGACTAGCAGTACTCCACTGTAAGGAATAACTATCTGAGATATTTCATTTTTAAACATAATGATTTGTAGTAAAAACAAATATATACATTTTTAAAAGAGCATGAAGCACTAATAACTTACATTATATCTTCAGAGCTGGCATTTCTAAAAGACTCAATAATAAAGTGAGTCATAGGAGATTGGGAGAAAGAGAAAATCTTAAATACATTGGGCAGTACAAGTAATCCTTAGCTAAGGAGATTGGTATTGGAGGGGCAAAGAGGAGACCAAAAGCTGAGGAGATGCAAACACCTGAGTTCTAGGTTTGTGGAATGGAAATGCCAATTATGATATATTAATCATTTGACAGAACTATTTGCAAGATATATCAAACAGAGGATGGGAAACATATCCATTACCAAAATTACTTTTTGTCTTTCTCAATACACAGGAATCTTACTCATTGACCATTCACAGGATCTATTAAAGATGTATTCTGTGAAAATATATTTTTTTCTGTAAAAGTAACCATAGTCAGGAAGGTCTCACTAGCAACTTTACAAATCTTTGATGATTTGGTGACACAACAGGAAAGATCACTATGCATACTTATTAGTATAAAGGATGTCATTGGATATCATACTGATGAGCCCTAAGAATTTTCTGTCTGTAAAACATCTATGTTCTCAGTTGCACATTGAAGGGGCCCACAGGACTTCTCTTTTTCAGGAGATCTCCCTACAGAAATCACACTATAGATGAAGATAGAAGAGGTCAACACTAATCTACCTTATTTCTACTTTAATGTGGAAAGTAAAATGTGTCTGCTTTTAGGAACTGAAGCACATAGGGTTTTTATTTTTGTTTTTTATCAGATATGTCACAAAGCCTCCAGGGGAAAAATGGAAATGGTATGAAACCAGCCTGCTGATGGGATTTTTATTCTTTGACCAAATTTTCTTTCAACAAATCTTTTTTTATGAAGGATTTTCTCTAGGTTTTTTTCAAAATAGCTTCAGTCCAAAGCCTTCTTAATCAGATCCTTTTTACGATTAAAGGCATATGCTTCCCATACTTGTTTTATCTAGAGATATTTACTAAAGTTCTGATCTGTAAATGGGTAGGTGTGAAACTCATTTTTTAAATCCACTTCTTTGCCACACTAGCACACTGTAGATGCCTCCACTGCTTGAATTTATAATCTTTGATGATAAAGCAGGGCATCTAAAACAAAGTTATCATAGTCAAAGTACATAATATAAAGAATAATGCACAAATACTGTAATTACTGCAGGCAATCAAATTTCTAGAAATGCAAATTTCACACTTACAGTTTCCATCCCCTCTGAGAGCTCTTCTTCTGGGTTTTGAAGTCTGGTTATAAGAGCTCCATTTCGAAGGCCCATGGATTGAAGCCGGGCTATCACGGACTAAAGAAAAAAGTTATTTTGAATAAATTAACATTTAAAATTGCTTTTGTGATCTGAAAAAATCCTTGATGTGTTTGAAAATTATAACTTGGTATTTATATATTGCTAGTATACACAGCATTGCCCAGTAGTACAGCCAGGGGCCCTGTTACATATTCAGCAGAGTTCCCATTGGATGTTCAGGGGGATAGACCATGCAGAAACCTCTTACTGCAGCCCTAACTTTCCTGCCTCTCCTCATGAAATGAGTCCCAGACTTGTAAATGGTCTAGAGCTGGGGAGGGATAGATAATACTGCAAAGGCTTTCTGCTCATTAGGGAGTGGGTGAGACCTGTATGCAAAGGGTTTTCATGGTGTGTGATAAAAGGGGTGAGGAGACAATTTAAATGATTTCCTTTGGTGATCAGAATCTGTTTATAGACCTGGAAGTTAGTACAAGTTTTTGTTATTCATTAAGCAAAAATACATTAAAAAAGAAGCCTGTCAATGGGAATTAACTGATATTACAATGTATCTAAGATACAGGCTCCTGTCCTAGGTACAGGAAGTATGCATGCAAATATTCTTGAGATCAAGAAAGCAAATTTTGCCATGATGAGCATATAATGAGCTTTGCCATTATTCAGGGGTGGGTATAAACAGATTGTGGGTATTATTACATAACCAGATGATCTTTAATATATTTATTCATATTGAATCTCTCTATTTTAGTGTTTTGATATAAATTTGGGCCCCAATTCTGCAAACACACACGTGCTTAATTTTATTACCATAAGTAATATTACCATAAGTTATTACCATATTACTTATTAGTAATAAAATTAAGCACATCAAGTCAAGTAGTAAAGTTAAGCACATGTATAAGTGCTTACTGGAGCATGGTCCTAATTTGTATTCAGGGGAGTGAGAATATGGTGAAATGGCAGTGATGGAGTACTGTCCATGAGGTTAAAGACACTCCCATTTTTTTCATTTTACACCTCCCCCTCGCTGCCCCATGTTGCAACAGCCACCCGTCTTGCCGAAGCACAGGAAAGGACTCCCATCATTGCTCATTAACACCGCTTTTTAGTTAGGAGGAAAGTTGGCTATAAAGTGACATGAGAATTTAACTTCAACTACAGGGGCTAAGCACACAGACTCCATAGAACTTCTGGGAAATGGAAAATACCATCCAGAAATGTAATCCATGTCTCACTTTGCAATGCTAAGCAATGCCACAATGCCATTAAAAATGGCTGAACTATTTTTTAGGTTAAATTATGCTAAACTAATTCGTAAAATATATTTTATTGAATAATAATTGAAAAACATTAGTAAAGTATAATCCCATTTATCCAAAATCTCCACATTAACTGAATCCCTTTCTTGTCCCCTATGTATCTCATGCTGGGGGACAAGGAAGGGATTTGGATAATGCAGAGGTTCAGATAATAGAGCAGTGACCCCCGACTGGACTGCAAGGAGGAGGAAATCCATGGTATGCCCACATCTTGAAAACTATGTGCAGATGTGGTCACCCCATCTCAAAAAAGATATATTGGAATTGGAAAAGGTTCAGAAAAGGGCAATAAAAATTATTAGGGGTTTGGAACAGCTGCCATATGAGGAGAGATTAATAAGACTTGACCTTTCAGCTTGGAAAAGAGACGATTAAAGGGGGAATATGATAGAGGTCTATAAAATCATGACTGGTGTAGAGAAAGTAAATAAGGAAGTGTCATTTACTCCTTCTCATAACACAAGAACTAGGGGTCACCAAATGAAATTAATAGGCAGCAGGTTTAAAATAAACAAAAGGAAGTATTTTTTCACACAACACCCAGTCTGGAACTTCTTGCCAGAGGATGTTGTGAAGGCCAAGACTATAACAGGATTCAAAAAAGAACTAGATAAGTTCATGGAGGATAGGCCCATCAATGGCTATTAGCCAGAATGGGCAGGGATGGTGTCCCTAGCCTCTGTTTGCCAGAAGCTGGTAAATGGGTGACAGGGGATGGATCACTTGATGCTTACCTGTTCTGTTCATTCCCTGTGGGACACCTGGCATTGGCCACTGTCGGAAGACAGGATATTGGGCTAGATGGACCTTTGGTCTGACCCGGTATGGCCATTCTTATGTAAGACAAGCCCCAAGCCATGGTAGAGGCCACCCTGCTGCTGAATGGCTCCTGCAGCAATGCAGGGAACCCTCTGCAGCCCAGATGTCATAGGAGGGAGGGAATGGGGCTGTGACAACGGAGCTGCAGAGGGCTCCCTGCTCTGCCGCAGGGCTGCTGACACCCAATCCCTGCAGGTGCAAGGAGGGAAGGCTGTAGTCCTGGCAGGGCAGCGCAGAGGCTGGCTGGGGGTCTCTGCTCTGCCCTACACCTTGCACCTACAGGAATTGGGTATCACTAGGTCTGTGGCAGTACAGGGAACCCTCTGAGGCCCGCTGTCATGGGAGTGAGTGAGCAGGGCAGAACAGAAATCCCGGTTTAGGACTGCCAGGAAGAGGAGGACGAGCTCCCAGCTGTGGGGCAGGCCCCCCTGCTGCTGAATGATTCCTACCTTCTCCATTATCCAAACTCTCAATTATCCAAATAAAATCTATACCCCGCCCCCCCCCAGGCTATCTGGATAATCAGGAGTATAATGTAAATGCCTTTATAACTTCATCCATGCTAATAATGGTGTTTGTCAATTTAACAAATTACATTAAATGATGACGATGATAACCTGATGCAACATGATATGGCTTGTTGCTAAAATATGGAATGTTTAGTAAGCATAATCAGATTTCTTTTGGTAGTAACAAGTGGAACAGGCATCCCAAAGACGTTATTTTCTAGCAATTGTGTCATGAATTATAGAGCAATAACGTTGCCAATATCATCTTAATAGAGATGATAGCTACAGCACACAGGTTCTCTTCTAGTGTAAATTGTCTTAGTTTATGTGCAGTGTACTTACTGCAAAGAGCTCATTTGGGTGCTTATTTCCGTCCAGTTCAATAAGATACTGAGAATCTTGCTCAGCCATCATGTCCTGTATGTTTAAGAAAAAAGACACACATACACCCTTTAACTGAGTATGACCAACAATTAATGACACTGGGTCTGATCCTGTTCACATTGAAGTCAACGGCAAAACTCACATGAATTCCCATGGCAGTAGGATTCAGTCCATAGATTAAAAACAAACAGCATTTAGACTGCATGACTAAAAGTCATGGGTATCAATCCAAGGCTTCTGGAAAGGAACTTCTATTTTAATAGTGAAAATTAAATATCTTGAGAATTTCAAAATTATAGTTACAGTGAGGTCATAGATCAAATAAAAAATCATATATCAAGCCCAACATATTTTTAAGTATCTAGAGAAAATAAGCTTAAAGATGATATGACCGTCAACTCCTAATAGTCTCTGATATAACTTTCTGCCCATAGTAGTCTAGGCTGCCAAGGTTGAGAGTCCTAATTGTCCTTAAGTTTATCAGATGAGTCATAGACGTCACTGCCTGGAGACCGGAGTTCTAAACCTGGTCCTGACACTGAATTTCTATGGGAACTTGAACAATTTACCTTTCTTAGCCTCAGTTTCCTCATCTGGAAAATGGGGATAATTATGTTTATCTACTTCATAGGGATGTTGTGAGGCATAGATAAACAATACTTGTCAAGTGCTAACTGCAAAATATTGTTGCCCCTTGACCAGAGTAGTTGGTCAATATTTGGGGCGTTGCTAGGTTGTTTCCATTAGGAAGATAAACTGATGATAGAGTCAGGTGTTTCTTTGGCGCAGTAGTGTTTATTTACAAAGAAGGTATACAAAGTCCTGTTTCCCTGAACACAGTAGAAACAAACAAGAGTCAGTTTCCTTGCTTCACAATTTCCATGCCTACCTTTCCAGCCACTACTCTGCCCAAAATAAGCTCTTTCACTTGGATTCCTCTCAGGGCCAAACTGACACTGCTTTTCTGGCTCTCTCCTGGCTTTCTGCATGTGACCACCACAGAAACACACAGCTCCAACCAAAGAATAGCCCAGCCAATATGTTTCCAATGACTTCCAGGGCAAAAACAATGAAACAGGAGGAGAAAGATCTGTTAGGAACTGTGAGGAGGAAGGTGGCAGAGAGGAGAGGAGAGGCCTATTGGAGACTGAGTGCTGCAGGGGCCTCTTCAATAGTGAGGGTAGCTGTACTTCAGATACTTCCCTATCTGGAATTATAGAAATAACATTAGTGTATGTAATGGAATATTAAACTGTATTATACTGTTATACTGTTATGCCACTAGTGGACCATGTCTAAAATACCTTTTTTAAAGTTAAGCTTAGCTATACCTGGCAGTGTATTAAATGATCTTATGCTGAGCACATCTGATGTGCATAAGCAAGCTATGTAGCCATTCCATATCAGGTACAGAAGTACATGACATGGTGTCATGCTTTCTACCACAGAGAAATGTGGTTTATGAAAGAGCATGTTTACATCAGAGAATTCAAGAGCCAGGGGAAAATGTTGAATGTTTTATAAGAGATTGGCATACGTTGGTTGAAAACTGTGGGAATGCAAAACATGAAAATACCAGAGACAGGCTGGTTACTGGGTTAACAGATCAAAATATTTCACAGTAGCCATAACTGAAGAGAGCTTTAACACTAGGCACAGCTATATTGAGAGCAAAAAAGTCTGAGCTGGTGAGACAGCAAAACCTAGAGCAACCTGACAAACTTGAAAAACCTGAAACTAGCTTAGAAACTGTAAAGAGACAATTGAGTGTTAAACGTCACTGGCATAAAACCCCTGAGGCAAGGAACTCCCAGGCTAAGAGGAACAAATTCCAACCTGCAGGCACAAGGTGTGGAAAAAGTCACATGATGAAACGTGTCCAACCAAAGACACACAATGTCATAAATGCATGAAATATGGACATTTTGGAGCTGTTTGCCACATGAAAGTAGTCAGGGAATTGACTCATATTACAGACAATCAAGAGCCATTGTTTCTGGGATCTATCACTTGCGATGACATACACCCTGCCTGGAGAGTGAAACTGAATAATCATGGCAAGGCTATTGACTTTAAAATTGACTCAGGAACTGACATCACAGTCATCACAGAAGGGACTTGCAATCACCTTCAACCCCTTCCAGAGCTGAAGTTGCCTGACACAGCTCTGACTAACCTTGGAGTTATTCTGAACTTTCTGGGCCAGTTCACCACAGAAACTTATAAAGACAAAAGCTTTGCATTCAGAGGTATGTGGTCAAAGGATCAAAGACCAGTGACCTTCTCAGCTGCAGCATGGCAGCCATGATGGACCTAGTGAGAAAGGTGGAGGAGCTTGAGAGAGGATTTGATAATATTAGACTTTTGAAAGGAGATCCAGTACAAATAAACTTAAGAGACAATGCTGAACAATACAGTGTACAAACACCCCTACCTGCAAAACCTTGGAAGAGACTAGCTTCAGATTTATGTGAATTAAAATGACATGCCTGGTCGTAGAGGACTATTTTTCCAGGTTGTAGTGGGGCAGTTACCCCACACCATGAAGAGTAGGGGTTAAAGCAGGCCAGAGGGAGTCTGTGCAGAGGCCTCCAATTAGAGGAGGGCTCACTAAGTGAGCCAATTGGGAGGTGGCTTGTTGAAGCGGCCAATCAGGGCCAGCAGGGGCCATATCTAAAGGGCTGCTCAACAGAGCAGAGGGCAGTCTCTCCCTGGCTTGCTAGGGAGAAGGACTGGCTGCCTAGGAGCACCATAGCTAGAGCAGTGATGGGTAGGGTAGCAGAGCAGAAGGAGCATCTAGCTGACTGCTGCCAGACTGAGGCCCTGGAGGAAGGGCAGATAAGGTGCTAGGGCTGTGGGGGAAGTGGCCCAGGGAAAAGAAGCAGCAGAGGAGTTGGAGGAGGGGCTGCCAGCTATAGGGTCCCTCCCCCTTCCTTTGCCCCCACTTGCCCTGAGGGAAGTGGCCAACACAGACTACAGTTTGCTCCTGGAGCAAGGGACTAGACTGGGGACTGCAGCAGGCCACTGAGGCAAGTGGCTGGACTATAGACTGCTGGTTCTCCCGAAAGGGGGGAGAGACAGCGGAGTGGGGCACAGCCCAGAAGAGGATGCCACGGTCTGAGGAGCGACGTGGGTCACAGAGTGCTGGAGACAGCAAAGTGGGAGTAACGGTGAGTGAGACACCACCAGAGGAGGGCACCCTGTGGAATGACTTAAGCTAATTCCCAGAACGGCCAGCAGGAGGTGCCACAGTGGTGAGTCCCGCCCCATTACACAGGTATATAGAAATAATGTACTGGAAAGACATGATGTTGCTATGTTATCAAAAAACGGAAGTACATTTTTGCTCACTTCAGTATTCCAGAACAATTAGTGATGGACAACAGACCAGAATTCACTGTAGCAGAATTTAAGTCATTCTGAACTAAATATGATTTTGAGCGTATTACTAGCAGCCCACATTATGGAAAGATTGAGAGAGCTGTACAGAAAATCCTATAGTAGGAAGATCCGTTCCTTACTCTTCTGAGTTACAGATCAGCACCAACAGCAGCTACTGGATACAGTCCAGCACAACTCCTAATAGGAAGACAAGAACTACTGTTCCAACTTTGGAAAAGAATCTATCTCCAAAGTGGGCAGACATGAAGGCAAAAAGAGATGAACAGTTTTACAATAGACAACACTCAATTAGAGAATTGCCAGGTCTGGAACCAGGTGACCATGTTCATGTCAAACTGGGTGGAGAAAAAGGATGGACAACTCCAGTTGTTGTAAAGAAAAAGAATTCAGTGCCCAGACCGTATGTGATCGAGACCAACAGTGGAGAGTTCAACAGAAACTGCTGAAATCTACAGCTTGTTCCTCAGAAAGAACAATCAACAGAGCAAACCATACAGATGGCACATGCAGAATAAGAAGATGACAACTTCAAACCAACCACAGGCAGTCATTGCAACTAATGAACAGCCAGATGACCAAACTGTTATGTTTGAATAGTAAAATTAGAAAAAGAGTATGATTCAGAGACACTTAACAGACTGATATGTACTGAACTTCAAAGATAGCACGATAGTGTAAATATTGTAAGTGGTAGGAAAGTAGAAATTAAAAGGGGAGATGTAATGGAATGCTAAACTGTATTATACTGTTTTGCCTATTGGAGGCACTGTGAGTAAAAGACCTTATGTAAAGCTAATCTTATCTGGATCTTATGATGAACACAGCTGGTGTGTATAAGCAAGGTCTGTAGCCAGTCAACATTTGGTATGGAAGTACATGACAGTGTAGTTCTCACAATTTTTAAGCCCCATCCAAACTACAAAAAGATGTTACAGGACTCTGATTCGACACCAGAAACAACTGTGAACTGTCTTGTATCCTGAACGTTTTAATCTGAACCTCAAAATTCTGAGGAGGGGGGTCAGATTGTGGGTTAGGTCCATCTTTGCAAAATAAACTCAAGATACCCAGAGTGCATAAAAATTATATAAAAACAAATGTTAAAAAATGATCTTCTAGTGGATACAACAATATTACTTTGTGCTGTTCTTACCTCTAGAGGATATAGCATGGTATCCTTATAGAGATGAATCCTGGCTTCTGCATTTTCCAAAAAATCTTCAGGCCTCTGCACCAAATGAGGCAAAATATCTGACAACATGATTGCATCTGCTGCTGCCTAAAGTAAAGAAAATAAACACTTTATTTCAGGCCCTGTAATAATAAATGTACTAAACCAAAGCCTGTCTAGATTGAAAAGACAAGAGTTAGAACCCTACTACTCTTTGTGTGTGGCAGAGTAATTTAAGGAGTCCTCTGAGGATTCCCCTAGTTGATAGTGATCCACCAGCTAACTTGGTAAGCAGATTTCCTGGGGATGGGAGGAGTTCTAGACACCTCTGGCCAACATTATAAGGCAGTGCAATTTAAAGGCATCCCAGGGGAAAAGGGAATGAACGGGCCCCCAGGATGAAGGGGGATAAGAGTCTGTCCTATCTCGGGGCCTCTCCTTTTGTCCCTCCAGACCCACGAACATGATACAGTTCTGCGGTGACCTAGAATCCTACTTTCGACGTCTCCGACTCAAAGAATATTTCCAACATACCTCTGAACAGCATACTAACCCACAGAATCCCCCCTACCAGCACTACAAAAAAAAAAAGGATTCTGCGTGGACTCCTCCGGACGGTCGTAACAACAGACTGGATTTCTACATAGATTGCTTCCGTCAACGTGCAAAGGCTGAAATTGTGGATAAGCAACATCACTTGCCCCATAACCTCAGCCATGCTGAACACAACGCCATCTACAGCCTCAGAAACAACCCTGACATCATTATCAAAAAGGCTGACAAAGGAGGTGCTGTCGTCATCATGAATAAATTGGAATATGACCAAGAGGCTGCTAGACAGCTCTCTAACACCACATTCTACCAGCCATTATCCTCTGATCCCACTGAGGATTACCTAAAGAAACTACACCATCTGCTAAAAAAACTCCCTGACAAAGCACAGGAACAAATCTGTACAGATACATGCCTAGAACCCCGACCAGGGACATTCTATTTGCTACCCAAGATCCATAAACCTGGAAATCCTGGACGCCCCATCATCTCAGGCATTGGCACCCTAACATCAGGCTTGTCTGGTTATGTGGACTCTCTCCTCAGACCCTACGCTACCAGCACTCCCAGCTATCTTCGAGATACTACTGACTTCCTGAGGAAACTACAATCCATCGGTGATCTTCCAGAAAACACCATCCTGGCCACTATGGACGTAGAAGCCCTCTACACCAATATTCCACACAAAGATGGACTACAAGCTATCAGGAACAGTATCCCCGATAATGTCACAGCTAACCTGGTGGCTGAACTCTGTGACTTTGTCCTCACCCTCAACTATTTCACATTTGGGGACAATATATACCTTCAAGTCAGCGGCACTGCTATGGGTACCCGCATGGCCCCACAGTATGCCAACATTTTTATGGCGGACTTAGAACAACGCTTCCTTAGCTCTCGTCCCCTAACGCCCCTACTCTACTTGCGCTACATTGATGACATCTTCATCATCTGGACCCATGGAAAAGAAGCCCTTGAGGAATTCCACCATGATTTCAATAATTTCCATCCTACCATCAACCTCAGCCTAGATCAATCCACACAAGCGGTCCATTTCCTGGACACTACTGTGCTAATAAGCGATGGTCACATAAATACCACCCTGTACCGGAAACCTACTGACCGCTACACTTACCTACATGCCTCCAGCTTCCATCCAGGACACACCACACGATCCATTGTCTACAGCCAAGCTCTAAGATATAACCGCATTTGCTCCAATCCCTCAGATAGAGACAAGCACCTACAAGATCTCTATCAAGCATTCTTAAAACTACAATACCCACCTGCTGAAGTGAAAACACAGATTGACAGAGCCAGACGAGTACCCAGAAGTCACCTCCTACAAGACAGGGCCAACAAAGAAAATAACAGAACACCACTAGCTGTCACCTTCAGCCCCCAACTAAAACCTCTCCAGCGCATCATTAGAGATCTACAACCTATCCTGAAAGATGATCCTTTACTCTCACAGATCTTGGGAGACAGACCTGTCCTTGCTTACAGACAACCCCCCAACCTAAAGCAAATACTCACCAGCAACCACACATCACTGAACAAAAACACTGACCCAGGAACCTATCCTTGTAACAAAGCCCGATGCCAACTCTGTCCACATATCTATTCAAGTGACACCATCATAGGGCCTAATCACATCAGCCATACCATCAGGGGCTCGTTCACCTGCACATCTACCAATGTGATATATGCCATCATGTGCCAGCAATGCCCCTCTGCCATGTACATTGGCCAAACCGGACAGTCTCTACGCAAAAGAATTAATGGACACAAATCTGACATCAGGAATCATAATACTCAAAAACCAGTGGGAGAACACTTTAACCTGTCTGGCCATTCTATGACAGACCTGCGGGTGGCTATCTTAAAACAGAAAAACTTCAAAAACAGACTCCAACGAGAGACTGCTGAGCTGGAATTGATATGCAAACTAGACACAATCAACTCAGGGCTAAATAGGGATTGGGAATGGCTGAGCCATTACAAACATTGAATCTATCTCCCCTTGTAAGTATTCTCACACTTGCTTCTTATCAAACTGTCTGTACTTGGCTACCTTGATTATCACTTCAAAAGTTTTTTTTCTCTTACTTAATTGGCCTCTCAGAGTTGGTAAGACAACTCCCACCTGTTCATGCTCTCTGTATGTGTGTATATATATCTCCTCGATATGTTTCACTCAATATGCATCCGAAGAAGTGGGTTGTAGCCCACGAAAGCTTATGCTCTAATAAATTTGTTAGTCTCTAAGGTGCCACAAGTACTCCTGTTCTTTTTACAAAAAGAGGAGGTGTTAAGATACACTTGAGTCAGGGTCGGCACTAGACTAAATGGCGCCCCAGGCAACAAGCGTCTTCAGTGTCCCCCCTCTATCTGTTAAACTTTTGAATACCTTATTTTCATAGTATTTGTAGCCCATTTCACAACTTCCATGCACAATTTGCATGCATGATTTATCCCTGTCATATAAGACAATACATTTGCACACTAGGATCTGTAAATCTGTATTTATTCATACCATATACAAGCAAATAAAAAATGTTTCCTCTAAGCTTATGGAAATTTAAAAAAAAATTTTTTTTTAGAATAATAGAAATGTACAGGGCATGACTGACAACATTCTAGGAGGTTTAAGGAAAATGTACTTCCCAGAAAATCTGGAAGATTCCATGAGATTCTACAAAGGTCCAGAACATTCTAGCTTAGTGAAAAAATGAATCCACATATGGCGTACCTGAAACATTTCCCTTCAAACATTCTATTTTCCCCTTTGTTGCTAACAACAAAAATAAAACCCTGAGCCCGGCACCCCTCCAAGCTCACCATCCCAGGTGGTTGCCTGGGTCGCCTGCCCCTACATTCAGCCCTATCTTGAGTAGACAAGAATTTAAAAGTATGGTCATGAAGGAGCTTGCAAAGGAATGGCAAGAACTATGGACTAAGGAAACAAAAGAACAACGGTTCTACGATGTAGGCTCAAAAATTGAAGATAATATACTCCACAGTCATGACAGAAAAAGCGAAGTAGTCATTTTTACAGTGTTAACATGTCATTATGCCAAATACAAGTTAAACTTACTAAAAAGATGTAAAGATAGGCAATGTAATATGTGACAAACCAAAAAACTGTTGATCATGTTCTATGGTATTGTGGGCAATATTCTATGGAAAGAAAGTTTCTCTGAGAAAACATTGAGTCAGCTTAGCAAAGATTTTTCCCTTAATGGACTAATTAAAAAGTCACAGAAATGGAATAGTGTGTGTTTGGGGGGGGGGGAAGCCTCGCTGCATTTCCTTATGGATACTAGACTGAGTGAAAGGATATAAGAAAAAACTTGGCTAAAAATGAATGAAGAAAGTGGTGGTCATAACTTCATATGATGAGGCTGCTGTGCCAAAAAACAAAGTACATGGTGGCACTAAAAGGTAAGCAGAACTAGAGCTCCCTAGCCTCACTGACAAGGAGAACAGCTGAAGAGCCTCTGTCACCTGGACCTGCTGAAGTATTAGAGGGACCTTCTTTACTTTGTTTTCCCTTTTTGTTTAGAACTCTGGGTGCACAGCCTAGGTTCTTTGGACACAAGGAATTAAGGGTTCAGACCCCCCACAGAGACTATTGTCCTCTGACCTTACAGGGGACCACTGGGTAAGCCTGGACTATTTTGGGATGCACTGTTATTTGGTTTGCCCTTACCATTTTCTGGACTGCTTCATGCCTAGAAGTGGGGGTTACCTCCCCCCTAAGACTTATGGCCAGAGGACCACACTCTGTACTCTAAACCAGATATACAGCCAGAGAAGGACATCTCTGACAAGGTGCCCACTCTCACCCCCATGGTGCTCTAGAGGTACAACCTATCACAAAGATTAGCATGAATTTTATCCATTATACATATTATGTAAGTGCTCAATTTATTTTTGATTAGCTGTACATAATTAGTTGATATTTTATATAGACTTGAAATATATATTATTTTTAGCTTTTCCCTCTTTCCAACAAAATTGCTACACTATTTTTATGGTGTTTTAATTAATGCCAAGAAGACTCACTCTGGAGGTGAAAGAAATTAATATCTTGTTTAAAAAGTTACAGTATTTTATTTGCAGTGGTATTGTAGCTGTGTTGGTCCCAGGATATTAGTGAGACAAGGTGGGACAAGTTTTCGAGATACATAGAGTTGTATCTGTGTAGTTCAAAAGCTTGTCCCTGTCACCAATAGAAGTTGGTCAAACTAAAAGATATTATCTCACAGTACAGTAGAACCTCAGAATTACAAACACCAGAGTTATGAACTGACAGGTCAACCACACACATCATTTGGAACAGGAAGTACGCAATCAGGCAGCACCAGAGACCAAAAAACAAATACAGTACAGTACTGTGTTAAATGTAAACTACTAAAAAAATAAAGGAAAAGTTTAAACAAAGTTTTGACAAAGTAAGGAAACTGTTTCTGAGCTTGTTTCATTTAAATTAAGATGGTTAAAAGCAGCATTTTTCTTCTGCATAGAAAAGTTTCAAAGCTGTATTAAGTCAATGTTCAGTTGTAAAGGATTGAAAGGACAACCATAACATTGTATTCAGAGTTATGAACATTTCAGAGTTACCAACAACCTTCATTCCTGAGGTGTTCATAACTCTGAGATTCTACTGTATTTTTATGGTAGTCCAATGTCAAAACTGATAAACAAGCTGAAATCTTATCAATACTACTAAATAATTTTACTGAATGAGTATTACAGTTTTGTTTAAATACTATAGTACATCTCTTAAAGCAGAACAGAAATTGATTTACAAAAGCAAGGTTGAACAAAATGCATTCAGAGTAACACTTGAGGTTTTTTAGTTTATTTTTAAATGTCCATGAGCTTTGTTCTTTTTCTGACATGGCTGCTAATAAAGAGTCTCTTCTGTAGATTAAGATCAGTTACCTCATCTTCTTCTTCCTGCTCTTCCTCCTCTTCCTCTTCCTCATCTTCTCCTTTATGTTGATCCTTCTTTTTCTTCCGTTTGTCAATAATTTCAGAATCCCACTGGTTCCTTTGGTATATCTGCCCTGCATCAGGATGCTGTCTTTGCCCAGAGAGTCTTTGGCACAAATCATAGTCAGGACACTAGTTAAGAAATAATTGAAAGAAAACTTTCTGCTTATGTTATTATCATAACAATATTATTTTTTCTTAAAAGTAATAGAGCCTACTTTTTAACATTTTTTTATATATTGCACTTCTAGGCACATACAACTTTAAAAAAAGACAGTCAATAATTAAATGTACAAGATGTCAAAAGGACATGGGAAGAGCCTTTCTAAATAGACAATTTCCAACCCCAAAGGCTACTGCCCAATCAGTTACCACATAACCTCACGTGGCTTTCCCCCAATCTTTGGAAAGCCTGAGAAAACAGTGACAGCTAATCCAGGGAGGGACAGAAGGGGAGGAGCAATTTCTACAGAACAAAGTATTGTTTAATTGGACCATGTTGCCAAGTACTGGGCATGATAAGTTCACTACATGAGCAACCCCTTTAAGTGTTAACAGAGTTCTGGAGATTGCCTTGCTCCCTTTGCAAGAACTAGGGGATCTCATGTGATTGCCATATGACACACAACTTTCAGAAGCAGGCAAGAAGAGGCATTTGCTTTTTTCCCCCCCCCAAAGAAGCCTCCTCTTTGCCATTTTTTGATATACAAATAGAACAAGATTTTTCTGAAGTGAGTAATGAAAAGCTATTCACAGATCATGCATTTCTAAAGAGATTCCTCTTCCTTTCTTTTTGACATAGTGAAAATAGCCACAATTCTATTACATCCAGGATTTCACCTAGAACCACCGAAGTCAATGGCAAAACTCTCATTTGACTGCAGTGGAGCCAAGATTCCTTCCTTGGAGTTTAAGGTCTTAACCTTCCTTCAACTGAAGTCAAGAGGGGGAGATAAGGTATGTACATGAAGTCAAGAATTCCTTTCTGATGGTGTAAAACTGTATCACCCATTTATATGGAATTTTATGTGTGAAACCATACAGAATGTACCGCCTGGAATAAGTCTTTTGCACTGCCTGGTATTAAAACAAGGTTCAACTTCCTATAATTAAAAATAACAACTCCTTCCCCTAAAATGGCACAAAAGGGTATTTTGTTTTGGGGTTTCAAGTTATTTTTGTACTCTCAGAAACCAAATAATTTCAAATTAGCAGTTAAAATGTTCACTGGACATGTTCAAATTTAAGTCTTTAAATTATCAAATATGTAGAATTTTGGGCTGAGTGTGAAAAAATGTAATGACATCTAGCAAAGTGGCAGCACTCCCACTACTCCACTAAAGCCTACCAACTACCATCTCTGTCTCACATACATGCACAATGTAACAAAAACTGTTGTTTCAGCAGCCCATTCATTATTTTAGAAGTTAGAGTGGGAAAAGACCTAATAGATCCAGTATATTTTCTTGTTCTTTTAAGAACTATGGAGTAAGAAGTCCTCTGACTATTGTACTTACAATCAGGGCTGGCTCCAGGTTTTCTGCTGCCCCAAGGAGCGGAAAAAAAAAAAAAAGCCGATCGGCGGCACTTTGGCGGCAGATCAATTGCGCCTCTCCATTCTTCGGCAGCAGGTCCTTCACTCCCTCTCTTCCTCTTCGGTGGCACTTCGGCAGCAGCTCAAAGAGGAAGAGAGGGACTGAGGGACCTGCTGCCGAATTCCCGCTGAAGACCTGGATGTGCCACCCCAATAGCGGACAGAGTGCCGCCCCTTTGTATTGGCTGCCCCAAGCACCTGCTTCCTTACCGTAGCTGGTGCCTGGAGCCGGCCCTGCTTACAATAATGTGTATTTCTAAATGTATATTACAGTAATTTTTGGAAAGTGTCTTCACTATACATCTATTTGGGGAATTTTAGTAAATTTTGCAAGAGAGCATAGCAGAGTTTGCAGATTCAGTCCAAATCTGATTTGTAAATAACTGATCTGTAAGTAGTATTTTCACCATTGTTTGCAATTAGACAAGGAGGGCTGGACTACAAAGTAAGTTGTTTTCTCACTCAAATATGTAACTAATTTTTCCCAAGAATTTTTCCCAAATAGCACTTCTACTGGCTTTGACTTATAATATCCATACCCTGTTATTATCCCAAGGCTTTATCTTCATGGAACATGTACTTTTTGTTCCAGTCTTAGAAACTGATCATGAGGTGCTCAATGACTATAACTCCCACTGAAGTTATAGGAGAGGCTCAATACCTTGCAGGATCGGTCCTTAGGGCCAAATTCTGCAGTCTATTACAGTAGTGTAAACCTAGAGTAACTTCTTTGACAACTCCATTGCAAAAGAAGAATTTGGCCCTTAGCAACAGCTATCATACTTCAATATATGTAAAAAATGACACTGACTCCTATAGAATATTCATCTTATTTTAAGAATAAGTATGAACATGATTAGCAAGTTATCAAAGCTGTCATTACCTTAAGGTTAATCAGGAAATTTGGTTTTAATTTTAGATTTCTAATTTTCTCTATTTGCTCCGAAATAGTCATGTATTCCTCTGAGAGAGAAGGAAATCCACTGAGAACATAACCTGCCAAATAAAATTTGTTAAATACATCTTTTGGAAAGTTATTTCAATAGACTAAATATTTATATTTATCTGTTTTAAACATTACATCTAGATAGACGTATAGCTAGAACCATTTGTCATGGCCACCCACATTGATAGCTAAGGTTTACCTGTGATTACCCAAAATGACATAACAAAGCTACAATACTTTCAAGATAACTACACCTCTACCCCGATATAACGCGACCCAATATAACATGAATTTGGATATAACGCGGTACAGCAGCGCTCTGGGGGGGGTGGGACTGTGCACTCCGGCGGATCAAAGAAAGTTCGATATAACACGGTTTCACCTATAACGCGGTAAGATTTTTTGGCTCCCAAGGACAGTGTTATTTCGGGGTAGGAGTGTATATAACTCTCAAAGACTGTTAATTCAGTTAATGAATATAGAGAAAAAATTGCCCAAAATAGACACTAACAATTTTATATGTGCTAAATATTACCTTGAAATTCAATCTGGAAAGTCTGAATCATGTAGCAATTACTAGTAATGCATGAAGTTATATAGGCTTTTTATACTGAGAGATGCATGCTCAGTAGCATCTAATGTCATTCTGTTCTTTGCTGAGTGGCAGGTGGAATATTAAGGTGATTGAAAATGATGGAATAAGAGGGCTTGAATAGAAAATGTTTGGTTTGGAAATAGACTGAGTCACACTGACCTATGGAGGTGAATTCAATAGGGAGTAGGAATTCCATAACTGTATTTTGGGAAGGAATCTCCTCCCATGCTCTGGAGGTGAGAGCTTTCTGAGAGAGATTGGATCACTTTTTCTTGGGACATAGAGGGTTATCCTTGTATTAGAGAAGTGGGAGATCCATGGGATGCAGAACAAATTCCTTTACAATGAGTGGGAACTAGACTCTGTTTTTCAATGTAAGGTCAGTGGTCAGAGTTACAACAGTATATATATCCTTTGCATGCATAGCCTAGATCTTTCTCCAGCCATGGACTCCAGCCATGTATATGGAGCAACATAAGGCAACAGGGGGACAAGTGAGATTCATGTCTGTGCTCTTTGCATCCAGTTTCAAGTGCAGAAAGTCTACCATCCTGGTGACAGATCTGAGTGTGCCCATCTTGTGTCTGAATCCTGGGTTAGGATAGGCTAGTTTGTGTACTGATCATTCAAAACACCAGAAAACTGATGCTAAACTGATCATATTCTATGTTGTGGTAGCACTGGAGGCACCATGCTTGACAATGTTTGTGACTTCAGTGTCCATGCAGATGATACTTTTCTAGAGTATCTCAGGACTTCATGCTTGTCATGATGACCATAGGACTATCCTAAGTAGTTTCTGACTCAGCTGACATAGATTCTCGGTTGCACTATGGATCTTGTATTTGGGTTGGAATGGAGATGGGGGAAGTTAAAGTTACCCTGACATTTCCTTCTGTAAAGAGATTTTGCCTGCTGTGGTAAAGGACCAGTTTTGGTACTCTGTCCTTGAAGGGTGATGGAACCTGATGGCTTCCAGATGACCCGAATGAACATAGGAACAGCTATACTGGATCTGACTTCTGATCCATCTAGACCAGTATCCTGTGTGCAACAGCAGGCAGCACCAGATGCTTCAAAGAGCAAGAAAATCCTCAGTAGGCAGATGTAGGATAATCTTGTCCCCATAAAAGTCTAATCCTAATTCCCAGTAGTTAGAAATTGTCTTAAATCCTGAAGCATGAGGGTTATCCCTTCCAATACTCTTTTTTAAAAAAAATTAACTATTATAACTCTAAATATTTTTCTTACCTATATAAAAATGTCCAATTCTTTTTTGGATTTTGCCAAATTTTTGTCTTTAACAACATCTTGTGACAATGAGTTTCAGAGTCCAATTAGGGTTTGAGTGCAAAAGTATTTCCTATTACCTACCAGTTTTGAATCTGCAACCTTTTATTTTCATTAAATGTTCCCTTGTTCTTGTGTTATGAGAACAGAAACGCCTATCTACCTTCTCTATGCCATTAATTATTTTATCATGTCCACTCTTATTCATTTTGTTTCTAAGGTAAACAACCCCATCTCTTCAACATCTCTCTGTCTGAGTTTTTTCATATTCCTAATCATTCTTGTCACTCTTCTCTGCATGGCTTCCTACTCTAATTCTGCATTACCCTTTTAGAGAAGGGGAACCCGTTACTGCACAAACTATTCCAGATGAGGGCATATCACCCACTTAGATAATGGCACTATAACTTTTTACACATTATTCTCCATCCTACTACTGATGCATCCTAAAATCTTGTTTGCTTTTTGACCACTGCTGCATATTAAGCAGAGGTTTTTATTGAGATGTCCACAATGATCCCTGGGTCCCTTTCCTGACTGGGTATAGTTAATTTAGAACCCTAATAAACTGTACAATGAGTTCAAATTTTTCCTTCTAATGTGGATTATTTTGCATTTATCAATATTTAACTTCATCTGCCACTGTGTTGCCCATTCACCTTGCTTAGTTAAGTCCCTATGAAGTTCTTCACAGACTTCTCTGGACTTGACTACTTTAAATAACTTTTTATCTACACATTTTGCTATCTCATTGATCATCCTCCTTTCCAGATCATTAGTATATTAGACAATACCAATCTTAACACAGATCCTTGAGGCACCTTCCTGTTAACCTTTTGCCATGACAAAAATGACTATGTATTCCTACAATTTCCTGTGTCTTAGCCAGTTTTTGATCCATGACAGTGTCTCCTACCCCATGAGTATTTAGTTTCTTTGTTATCTTCTTTTGACCTTGTTAAAGACATTTTGAAAGTCAAAATTATATCAATCGGTTCTTTTTTATCCACTACTTTATTGACATGTTCAAAGAATTCTAACATTAGTAAGATAAGATTTTCCTTTGAAGAAACTGTGCTCTGAATAGACTATCATGTCATGAGCATCCAGGTGTTTTATTATTCTGTTTTCAATTATAGTGTCTACCAGTTTACCAGCTACAGATATAAGGTTTACTAGTTTATAATTCCTTAGATCATCCATACGGCCTTTAAAAAAAATAGATATATTTCCTACCCTCCAATTCTTCAGTGTTGCAGCTGTTTTAAAATGAGAGATTGTATATATCTTTGCTAGCAGCTCAGCAACTTCATACTTAAGTTCCTTCAGAACTCTTTGATGTATACTATCTGGGCCTGGGGACTTACTTCTTTTTAAAATTATTTTGTTCCAGAACTACTACTTTTGACACCTCAATCTCTGATAGTATCTCATCTTTATTACAGAAAATTAAAAGGATATAATTTGGCTGAAAGATATCACTCTGTTGGTGTGTGTATGAGTACATAGCACTCTTTTGTCCTCCACTATTAATACAGTATTCCCTAAATGCCATTTCAGGTCACTATAATTCACAGATATCCATGTTCTGCATGAAGCAATGAAGACAGATTCTACAATGCTGGTGGCAAAAATGTCTGATTGAATCTGACAGATTGCAATATAGCAGAATTTTTAAATATCATATGCTATGGATATACAAGAAGATAAAACTAAGTTTTAGAGGGCTAGGGTGGATGTACTTTAAAAGTTCTGAAAAATGACAACACATACCAAAGTGAGCAACTTCTGGTGACTCAATCTTTTTCAGAATCATCTTTGTAATCACTTCTTCAGGAATACTTTGACCTCCAAAAAGCAATTCCTGCATCTAAAGGAAAATGTAAAGCGTAACATCTTACAATATTTGCATGGTGGCCCCATCCAGCTGCCACAGACTTCAAGGGGAACAAGATTGGGCCTTATGAATGTCATGAAATTTAATAAAACAGTAGATTTTTACCTTAAGTCCATATTCTGTTCCTGCAGTAATATTTTCTTCTATTACTTCCAAAGCTAAAAAATGTACAGAACAAAATTAAAGCAATTAATAAAACATACCGTGTGTGAATTAATATGTTTTCATGTACACTGTTAGCCTAGCATGGCTGTCTTTATTAGTGATTTCATATGATCATAATGTAACTACTGTGAAATCTGGTGTTGAATCTTTGAGCCCAAAAACGTTACACATATTAAGAAGTCAACTTTCAAAAATAGAACAGTTCAGACATACAAAGATGTCAGTTTTAAAGTAGCCAGCTGAGAAAAAAGGTTACTCTTTAAATGGTCAAATTAAACAAGACAGTGCTAGTTTGATACTCTCTCACACTCAAAGTTCATATGGCTTTATGAACTGCAATGATGGGATGGAGCCTCAGGGGATAATCCTGCAAACCCTCCACATATATAAGCCCCACTGAAGTCAAGGGGCATTCCACATGCAGAAAAGAGGGCTGATCCTTATGTAGCTGAAAAATTCTTATTCTATTTTTTTCTCACGTGAAATAGTTTAGATCAGGTGTCACTTTGTATTAAAAAAGTGGGATGACTTAAGTAATCTATTTTTGCATTGACGGAAATAAAGTTAAGAGATTTTATTAAAACAGAAATTTTAGCATGATTTGAACTTAAAGCCTTCAAAATGTGATAAAGACATTTTATTTGATATGTTATAAAGCCTCTGGTCACCACAAAATCTGAAGGTTTTTTTGGCCACCAGAGGGCTTCCATATGTTCTAATTAATGCACTAGAAATCCATAATGTTTATTCATAACAAGATTTACTGAACATGCATATTCCATGGAAAAAAATCAGCCAAATCATGTATATTATAATTAACTTGAACAAAGAGTTGTTTAAAGTAACTTCTCTACAGTTATGGTTGTTATAAGCCAATTTAGCTTTCCCCCATTTTTAATTTAAAGAGTTGCATCAGTCTCTAAATTTGTAGGATATATATGGGGCAGAGGCAACATTTTTTCTGCAAAATTTAAGTGAGCATAACAACATAAAAATGGCCATACTGGGTCAGACCAAAGGTCCATCCAGCCCAGTATCCTGTCTACCGACAGTGACCAATGCCAGGTGTCCCAGAGGGAGTGAACCTAATAGGTAATGATCAAGTGATCTCTCTCCTGCCATCCATCTCCACCCTCTGACAAACAGAGGCTAGGGACACCATTCCTTACCCATCCTGGCTAATAGCCATTAATGGACTTAACCTCCATGAATTTATCTAGTTCTCTTTTAAACCCTGTGTGACAGACCCAGACCAGTGGGGTACAGGAGTCTGGTAGAGGGCAAATATACTGGTCACTGGATGAGTAGTTTTCTGTTCCCTGAGTGACCAGAGCAGGGGCTGCACTAGAGTAATCAGGAACCTGCTAGAACCAGTTAAGGCAGGCAGGCTAATTAGGACACCTAGAGTCACTTAAGAAGAAGCTGCTAGAATCAATTAAGGCAGGCTAATCAGGACACCTGGGCTTTAAAAAGGAGCTCACTTCAGTTTGTGGTGTGAGTGTGAGGCGCTGGGAGCAAGAGGTGCAAGAAGCTGAGAGTGAGAGGGTGTGCTGCTGGAGGACTGAGGAGTACAAGCATTATCAGACACCAGGAGGAAAGTCCTGTGGTGAAACTAAGGAAGGTGTTTGGAGGAGGCCATGGGGAAGTAGCCCAGGGAGTTGTAGCTGTCACGCAGCTGTTACAGGAGACACTATAGACAGCTGCAGTCCACAGGGCCCTGGGCTGGAACCTGGAGTAGAGGGCGGGCCTGGGTTCCCCCCAAACCTCCCAATTGATCTGGACTGTGGGTTCTTCCAGAGGGGAAGGTCTCCGGGCTGTTCCCCAATCCACATAGTGAATCTCTGAGGCAAGAAAATCCGCCAATAAGTGCAGGACCCACCAAGATAGAGGAGGAACTTTGTCACACCTGTTATAGTCCTAGCCTTCACAACCTCCTCAGGCAAGAAGTTCCACAGGTTGACTGGGTGCTGTGTGAAGAAGAACTTCCTTTTGTTTTAAACCTGCTGCCCATTAATTTCATTTGGTGGCCCCTAGTTCTTATATTATGGGAACAAGTAAATAACTTTTCCTTATTCACTTTCTCCACACCACTCATGATTTTATATACCTCTATCATATCCCCCCTTAGTCTCCTCTTTTCCAAGCTGAAAAGTCCTAGCCTCTTTAATCTCTCCTCATATGGGACCTGTTCCAAACCCAGAATCATTTTAGTTGCCCCTCTCTGAACCTTTTCTAATGCTAGTATATCTTTTATGAGATGAGAAGACCACAGCTGTACGCAGTATTCAAGATGTGGGCGTACCATGGATTTATATTAGAGCAATAAAATATTCTCCGTCTTATTCTCTATCCCTTTTTGAATGATTCCTAACATCCTTTTTGCTTTTTTGACTGCTGCTGCACACTGCATGGACGTCTGCAGAGAACTATCCATGATGACTCCAAGATCTTTTTCCTGATTTGTTGTAGCTAAATTAGCCCTCATCATATTGTATGTATAGTTGGGGTTATTTTTTCCAATGTGCATTACTTTACATTTATTCACATTAAATTTCATTTGCCATTTTGTTGCCCAATCACTTAGTTTTGTGAGATCTTTTTGAAGTTCTTCACAGTCTGCTTTAAGTTCCTAGGACTGACCCTTGGGGAACATCTCTAGTTACCCCTCTCCATTCTGAAATTTTACATTTATTCCTACTCTTTGTTCCCTATCTTTTAACCAGTTCTCAATCCGTGAAAGGATCTTCCCTCTTATCCCATGACAACTTAATTTACGTAAAAGCCTTTGGTGAGGGACCTTGTCAAAGCCTTTCTGGAAATCTAAGTACACTATGTTCACTGGATCCCCCTTGTCCACATGTTTGTTGACCCCTTCAAAGAACTCTAATAGATTAGTAAGACATGATTTCCCTTTACAGAAACCATGTTGACTTTTGCCCAACAATGTATGTACTTCTGTGTCTGACAATTTTATTCTTTACTATTGTTTCAACTAATTTGCCCGGTATTGATGTTAGACTTACTGGTCTGTAATTGCCAGGATCACCTCTAGAGCCCTTTTTAAATATTGGCGTTACATTAGCTATCTTCCAGTCATTGGGTACAGAAGCCGATTTAAAGGACAGGTTACAAACTATAGATAATAGTTCCGCAATTTCACAGTTGAGTTCTTTCAGAACTCTTGGGTGAATGCCATCTGGTCCCGGTGACTTGTTACTGTTAAGTTTATCAATTAATTCCAAAACCTCCTCTAGAGACACTTCAGTCTTGACAATTCCTCAGATTTGTCACCTACAAAGGACGGCTCAGGTTTGGGAATCTCCCTAACATCATCAGCCGTGAAGACTGAAGCAAAGAATTCATTTAGTTTCTCTGCAATGACTTTATTGTCTTTTAAGTGCTCCTTTTGTATCTCGATTGTCCAGGGGCCCCACTGGTTGTTTAGCAGGCTTCCTGCTTCTGATGTACTTAAAAAACATTTTGTTGTTATTTTGAGTTTTTGGCTAGCTGTTCTTAAAACTCCTTTTTGGCTTTTTTAATTACATTTTTACACTTAATTTGAATTGAACAAAGGATTCCTGAATTACATCCTAAAATAGAAGTGTTCACTGGAGTTTTAAAAAGTGTTCTAATCTTTTTGGCCACTTTGTAGCAAAACCAATCATAACCTCCCTCCTTTGCTACAGAATATCTGCTCCAGCAAGCTTAGTATAAAAGAACAAAAAGCTGCTGGAGACCTAAGCTTATTCTTTTTGTATATGAGTCTCTAGCCCTTCTCCTTGCTGAGATGTCTCAAAACGACATGCCTCCCTAGCAATCAGTTGACAGTGGAACAAAAGAGAATATTTCCAATTAAAGGCTCTGCTCCTGCAGACCTTTAGTGATCTTCAGGGAGAGGGGGTGAGGAAGGTGGAGCTGGAGAGAGCAGAAGACCAAAGGGGCATTTCCTATTCCTGTGGACCTGCTGAAGGCTGCAAGGTGGGAGAACCCCACTGCCTCAAATGAGCCTTAGAATGTGTTTTGGTGGGGGCTTGGTATTCTCAGGATAATAGCACAGATTTGCTTTTATTATTATTTATATTGCAGAAGTGCTAAGGAGCCCAACTCAGACTAGCACCCCATTGTGCTAGGTACTGTACAAACACAGAACAAAGATAGACACTACCTGATCCTGTAAGCTGAGCCATGCAGTCAGACCCCTCTGCCTATGTGGACCCGCCACAGACTTCAACAAGGTTCCACATAAACATATGGATCTGCTCAGGTAGATCATCTTACAGGACTGGGCCCTACTTTGGTCATTAGGTGTTACATTCCCTCCTGCAAAAGAGGAGAAAACTGACTTGTTTAGCACCCATGTAGCTAAACAGCAGATGCATTTGCCATGTTCAACAATGATGTGTTTCCTGAAAGATTATCACAGTTTTCCCATACCAATGACCTTCACTGTGGTCAATAACGTACCATTTAGAATTTCAGGGAACATAAAGAAAGCTAAAATAAAAAGTATTATAGTGTTGTATTACAGTTGATATTTACCTTCAATGAGTGTGCATTTCCATAACTGAGCTATTTTTCTAGCTAATGTTTTCTTCCCAGTACCCTTAAAATGAAAAAAAGACATATTTTCTTAAAATTAGAATGACTTTGCCATTACTGTACTCACATAACAAAATGCAATGAAATGCATGTCCTGTTATTATTTCTTTGTAATACGGTAGCCACTAAAAGCCCTAGTCAGGATCAGGGCCTCTATGCTATGTGCTATAACACAAACCTGCTTAAAGTCATTGGGCAACATGTCATGTATTTCCCACTATTATTGATATATTATAATTGTTCCTTTTAACTGATTTCCTTCATATTAAATATATTTGTATTTATGAGTAAGGCTATTTTAAACTTTTTAATAAGAGTTGCTCATGAGTTTCTATAAAAAGATATAGAAGAACTGTGAGATTTGGGGAAAAACACTGGTAAATTTATAGACTGATCAAGATGAAAATCACCTTAGGATTGTGACGTTCAGTACCTCATGGGAACACCCTGCACCCCCATGTTCATCCCTATAAAATCATTGTGTGGTATCCAATGCAAAGTTTGTCATGTCGGGTGTCTTCAGAAGGCTCATGATGCACTGAGCATTGTTGTTATAGCAATGTTATAGGTTGTAATTTCATGTATATAGTTATGAGGCTGAAAATGTGTCCTTATGACTTTAAACAAAATCAGGCAAAAACTCTCCAAGAGCAGAGGGGCAGTTCATACCTCATCAGGGCATGTATGGGACAAACCCAGCCCAGCCTCACAGAAACAAAGGACACTGGCCTAGGCAGCAACAAAAGGATCTGTTGGACTCTCGAATGAGTCACCTCCCTTCCCTTGGTCAGTTAGGGACTACAATGAGGTAATGCTCACCTGACCCTGAAGGGGGAGGGGGGAAGCCAAGAGGGAAGAAAGAACATGATAAAAGGGAGAGACGTTTGCCATGCTCTTCCTCTCTCTTCCACCTCTATCTACAGACATCATCACCAAGCAACTGAAGTGCTGATGAAAGGGGAGAGCCTGGCTGAAGAGTAACTAAGGGGGGGAAGGGATAGTTCAGTGGTTTGAGCATTGGTCTGTTAAACCCAGGGTTGTGAGTTCAGTCCTTGAGGGGGCCACTTAGGGATCTGGGGCAAAATCAGTACTTGGTCCTGCTAGTGAAGGCAGGGGGCTGGACTCAATGACCTTTCAGGGTCCCTTCCAGTTCTATGAGATAGGTATATCTTCATATTTTTTAAAAAACTAGCCAGCCTGTTGTGAGAAGCTTCTAAGTTTGTAAAGGCACTAAAAGTGCTAAGATCAGCTTAGAATGCATTTTGCTTTTATTTCATTTGACCATATCCAACTTCTTGTGCTTTGACTTATAATAACTTAAAATCTATCTTTATAGTTAATAAATTTGATTATTCTACCTGAAGCAGTTCATTTGTTTTGAAGCGTGTCAGAGGCTCCCCTTGGAATAACAAGCCTGGTACATATCAATTTCTTTGCTAAATTGACAAATTCATATAAGCTTGCAGCGTCCAGTGGGCATAACTAGATACTGCAAGAGGGAGGTTCCTCTGGGACCGGAGATATTGGCTAGTCTCATTCAGTTGCACAATCCAAGGAGCAGCTTACATGCCAGAGGCTATGCGTGAACAGCCCCGGAATGGGGGTTCTCACAGCAGAGCAGGCAAGGCTGGCTCCCAGAGTCAAGGATTGGAGTGACCTAGCAGATCACCGGTCCAGGTAACACCAGAGGGGAACGTCACAGTGAGCAGGGTGTATGTACAGCTTGTTACTCCAAGTGAAGTTCACACTTTAAGCACTGATATTTGTGATTTTAAGTGAGTCTTAAGTGCAGTGGCTAAGGGCAGTCAGGAGGAAGTCACAGTTTTGTTATTTTCAGTTTGTTTATTTCAGATGAGGGAAATAAGCACAAGAAAGCAGAAAAATGACTACCAGTGAGGCAGCTACAAAACTAGAGCTGGCCAGACTGGAAACTGCAGAAAAAGAGAGGGAGCACCTCAGATTATTGCAACTGGAATAAGAACTGGAAATAAAAGAAAGAAAGAGAGAGAAGACACCAGCTGGACCTGCTAGAGAAGCAGAACCAGAGGCCCCCGATCCCAATGAGTCCCATCACTCCAAAAATCCACAAGTGGGACCACTTATGTCCTGCATACAGCAAGGAGGATAATATTGCTGAATATCTGTCTACTTTCAAGAGGTTGTGTGGAATACATGAAATCCCTGATAAGAGAGTTCCTACCCTGGTTGTGAAATTAACTGGTAAAGCTCAATGTATTCAATGGACTGCCTATTGAAGATGCTTTAGACTATTGTAAATTTAAAGATACTGTTTTGCGAAGTTTTCAGATTACCCCTGAAACATATAGAGTTAAATTTAGGAATCTTAAGAAGGATATTGGTATGAGTAATGGGGAATATGTAAACAAAATGAAAGATTTGTTGGGGAAATGGGTAAGGGGTAAAGAGGTTGCGAGTTTTGAGGGAATGTTGGATCTTGTTGCTCAAGCTTGTTTCCTAAGCATATGTAAGGCTGATGTAAAGCAGTGTCTATGGGACAAAGATGTAAAGTCTGTGGATGAGATGGCTTTGTTAGCTGATGCCTTCAAACAGAATCAGGCGTCTATTAAGGGCAGGCCCCAGAAAGGGGTTTAAAACTGGTGAGAAGGGAGGATCCCATTTTATCCCTGGGAAGAGAGAAAGGGGCTGGGAGCCTAAACATTCACTTACCCAAAAACATTCCTCTAACCCTCATCCCAAATCTCCTGTAAAAGCAGAAGAGCCCAAAATGTGCTATCAGTGTAATTCCACTCATCACCTGAGGAATAAATACCCTGTGCTAGGAGGAAGCAGGCAACCAATAGCTCATGTTAGTTCTGCTATCTTCAACACAGAAAACCCCCAAGCAATTGAAACCTATCATATTGGTTTTGTGAGATTAGCCTCTGCAGAACCAGATATGGAGCATGTTAAGGCTGTCCAAATTGATAGCAGGGAATACTTGGGGCAGAGAGATACAGGGGCCCAGACCTCTCTGGTTAAGTAGAGTGCGGACCCAAAGGCCAGTATGCTACCTGGCCAAATGGCAGAGATTGTGGGCATAGGCGAAAGCAGATTCCTCATACCACTAGCTAAAGTCCATGTGGTGTGGGAAGGTTTGGAAAGTGTTTTGACTGTGGGGGTAATAGAACACCTCCTAGTTGACCATTCAGGCTTCTAACTTGATAATAAACCTCGCTGAGGTGATGCCTATTATCAATGCTGTCTTAACAGAAAAATAAAAGAATGTACAATCTTCCATAGGTTCAAATGAACACTGCATTAATTGCACTACATTTAAATGCCAAGCAGGTACAGGTTCACTCACCAGCAGATATAGATTATTAAGACCTTTTAAGAATCTCTTAAATACATCATGAATAAATACCAATTTACTTTCCAGAGGAACATGGTATGCCGAAATTGTTGACAGGTGGAACTTAATAGAAGACAGAGACCTGACCTTTTGAGATATAATAAATATTCTAAAATTCAACTAATAGGCATAGTATATGGATCACCTCATTTATGCTAACCCACAATAAAAATCTTTTCCATTTATAATCATAACATTTATGTGTAGACTCTTTTCTTGAATTAACAAGATCCTTCTGTACATTGACTGTTCTAGCAATCCCAGAGTTCTATCACCCAAGTAGTGAGGTGAGGCAAATGAAGGTTTGAATGTTGCTCTTCATGCAAATAGGAATGGGGTATACATAAGCAGAAGGGAGAGGAGACAGTCAGGCTGATCACACCCCTACACAGCTGCTAGAACTGCCAATTGTGAAGACATACACCCACAGCTGGGACCAATAAAGAAAACAAAGCCAGCCATACGGGATGGGGAATAGAGAGGGAAAGAGAAGCAAAAAGGCCTGGGATAGTGGGGCAATAGCCCCATGCTAGGATGCCTCTGTGAAACCAAGAAGCAGACTGTAAGCCCTGAAGTTTCAGGGCTGATAGATCAGTGCATAAACTCTTAACTTAAATTGAGTCTAACTGCAGATGAATTGAAGGGGACCAGTTAGGAAAAAGCTGGGACCCCTAGAGAGACTGCACTAAGAGCAGTTGACACCCCCAAACAGAGGAGCTCTGTTACCCCTACCTCCTTCAGGGACCACTGATGATTCTGAGCCATTAACCTGCTCAAATAATCTGCAAGGGTGTTGTTTTCCCCTGGCACATGAATTGCCACTGGGTGAATGTCCTGCTTTCATTCTCAAAGACTTGTTGCATCTGTGCACACTTGAAGGGAATGTCCCCCTTGTTTGTTCTAGTAATATAAGGCTGTAATATTGTCTGCTACCACCTGAACCACTCTGTGCTTGATCTGAGGTAAGAATTATTTTCAGGCCCACCTGATGACCCTCAGATCTAATACACTTATATGTAATTTCTTTTCCATTGGTGACCAGTGACCCATTAACAGCAAGCCGTTTAAATGAGCCTCCCCTCCCCATCCTAAAGTGGATGTGTCCAAAGTGACTATTAGCAAAAGCACAGGAAGAATTAATGGTATGTCCTTCATGTTTTGATCTTGTGTTTATAACATCAGTGCTAATAACACCCTCTGGGGAATGACCAACTTCTAATGCATACTCTTCACACCAAGCTTGTAATTCTTGACAACCAGTATTACAACACCCTTATTTGGAGACAAGCATCTGGGGTTGCCGATGTGATTGATGCTAACAATCCCATTATCATTAAAATATGATGAACATAAAAACAAACATATTGGCTGCCATTTTGAAAGACAAAAGAAAATCTTGGAGAAATCTGTGACCTTTACTCACAGTACTAACACCTCTAATTGTAACTGACAAGTCAGTTAGGCCCCAAAAAACAAACCCTACCAAAACAGGCTGCGCAATTGTCACCATCATATTAAGATACAGAATACTCATGCTATATAAGAGAAAAAAACCCTATTCCCTTAGGTTTATTTTATTAAAGCAGTTTTCCTGATTATCTGTGTCCATTTAATGAGCCAGCAGGTGACACTGCAAAGAGTCTCCTCAGTTCCTACTGGTTTTAATGAAAGTGAAAGGCATTCAGCACTGTGCAGGATTTAGGCTCCTCATCCTTCATTCCTAAAATTCTTATTGACCTCAACAGTTGTTTTGGAATGAAAATAAAAATAAAAATGCAACACTAGGCCCTAGAGTGGCTTTGACTGTATTACTAAGCTAATTTTTAAAAAGAAAATGTAAAACCTTTACCAAATCTATTTGAGGGGAAATAATTTTTATGAGATGTTCAAATTAAAACATAGAAATTGGATGTCTTACTGGCTTTCCAAGGATAATTAAGCATGTAGGTTTAGACAACAGAAAGGATTTTTCAGCTTCATCTTCATCAAATATATCTACAAAGGGATAATCTTGTTTTTTCTCTGGTGAAGCCATAAATAAAATAGTCTAAATTAGGAAAAAAATAAACTGTTATTTATATAACACCAGGCATAATGGTTTACATATGAGTAAGCAGACAGAAAACATAGTGAATAACAATTGATTATGTTAGTAAACAATGGATATTGACAGAGGCAAATATAACTATTGAGCATATACAATGCAGGGGGAGGAGAATAACTTCAGAAAAATAAGAGATTATCAGAACTTTCATTAAGCCCATTACAGGGGTGCCATTACAGGGGTGCCCCCCGCACCTATCCTCCAAGTTTTGTACCACATTTGGGTGAAGTTCGCAGCAGGAGGGAAGATGCTACCCCTCCTCCCCCTGCTTCACTGCTGTCTTCAGCTGCTGCTCTGCCCCCACCTCCCATTGTCCTGGAGCCACCGCTGGCCATGCTGTTTGGGACCGGGAGCCTGCCTCCTGATCTGCTGCACAGAGGCAGGCAGGGACTGATGTTGGGGTATCCTCCTCCTCCCCATGTACCAGGGCTGGCAGAGTGTGTCCCTCGCCCCACCCCCAATGAGCTGCCCTCACTGTGCCAACTAGGGTCTGAACACATGCTGGCCCCCCAACCAGCAGCACCCTCTCTGATGTAGCCCCTTCCAGCATCTTGACCTATACCCCTCGCAGCCACCCCCCTGCCTGCACCCAAAGCTACCCCTCTCTCTGCACATATCACCTAGCTAGCCCTGCCTGGACCCTGAGATTTCAAACTTTTTGAACTGAGCCCACCCCTTTGAGTATCATTTTTGGTTGTGCCCCTCCCCCATTATCTGCCCAAAACAAGAGTTTTTAGATGCCTAAGCAACCTCTGGAGTCAGGGTTAAAGTTGCACCCCTCCCCCCCCCCCCAAAATCTGAAATAGCACTCCTTGACCTCTTTTCAGATTTTGATAGACTTCCTCCTTTTCTCAATCCCTGATTCTTAACATGGCTGCAGTTGTTTCTCTGTGATCCTCAAACAAGATACAACTGCCCCCTTTCTTCTCCCCGCTTTCCCTTATATTATGGTCTTCAGTATCCTTACAGCTTCACTCTCTGCCTCCATAATTGGGCCATGATCCTGCAAAGACTTAGGCTATGTCTACTCTACATGCTTAACTTTACACACAGTAAGTAGCCCATCAATGTCAATGGGACTATTGATAGTGCACAAGGTTAAACAAGTTTCAGAGTGGTAGCCGTGTTAGTCTGTATCAGCAAAAACAACGAGGAGTCTTTGTGGCACCTTAGAGTCTCTAAGGTTAAACAAATCTCTGCTCCTCCCCTATAATCTTCCTACAGGTCCCAGCTCACTCCAATCCTGCAACAGGCCTCACATCCTCCTTTGAAGAGTCTTATGATGAGGTGCACTCACCACAGTGCCTCCAGCAAACAGCAAACTTCACTCTAGCTTTCCCTTCTACTTGTACAGTGGAAGATTACATGGCAGGTTCAAAGACTGCAAACCCCACAGGGAGAAAGCAGACAAGAAGCTGGTTGGGCAACAGAGAGCAATGCCCTGCCTAGGCTGCTACACCAAGATACCACAAGGCATCAATCCGGATTGGTATTTTCTCTTCTGGCAAGGGAAGTGCAGTTTGCCTGGTTCTTTGTTGTTAATGTAGCACACTCAAGATCCTCATGAAATAAAGGGGTTGGGGAGAAAATGGTCTGGTTTATTTTGCCTATACAGTAACTGAATCATCCCATTGCAGGGCTGGCGGGCGGTTGTCACAAAATCTAATGAGGCTGTCAGTGACTTGTCCCAGCTCCTTCAAAACAGGCTGACGGTCACTTGGGGTGGCCCGGGAAGTCCTGTACAGTAACAACCTGCTCCTTATTTGATTGAGATAATTAATAATTAAGCCATCGCTCACTGAAGTTTTAACACATTACTTTGATGACGTTTCTAAACATTTCCTCTCCCGCGGATACATTTGTAAAACATTTTGGCCTTGGAGTCTGGGAATCACGAGCCAACCTCCCGGCGGAGAGCCAGGCGCGGGCGGGATGCAGGTGTCACGGAGTTGGCTTGGGGCTGTTGGCGGCGGACTCGGTCCCTCCGCGGGGACAGGGCGGCGGAGGCCGAACGGGGCATTGCTCAGGGCAGCTCTGGCTCTGCCGGTGACTGGGGGGGAGGGGGACCCTCTGGAGCATCCCCGTAAGGCCTGTGCCCAGCGCCACATCCCCGCGCAGCCGGGGGGAAGGGGCCGCCGGGAGCGGGGAGGGAGGTTGGGCCGGGGGTGCTGGCCGGGCAGCTGGGGCGGCATCACTTACAGTGCGCGGGGCAGGCACGGAACGGCCCCTCCGCCTTCCTAGCGCCGGGATCCCTACTCACTGCCCGGCACTGATTTGTGTAGCCTCGTAACCCATGGCAACCAGCGAGCCCCGCCCCGCGCCCGCTGCTCTCCGCTTCGAAACTGAGCGCGCCCCGTGCCCAATCAGCGTGCGAGCCGCGCTGCCCGCGCGCGTGCACGGGGCAGATTTTTAAAGCGGGCGGCGGCGCGCGCCTAACCGCTATGGAGAGAATTACAGGCGCAGGGTCTTTCCGTAGCGGTGAACGTGAGAGTAGCACAGAGCAGGCAACCAGCCCCTGAGCGTGGTGTTGTGGAGGTCGGAGCGGTCCCTAGTGCTGATGGCGGGGAAGCACCTCTACCGTGAGGGAATGGGGTCCTGCCCCTTCGTAGCCAGTGACACCCTCTCCCCCAGCGGCAGCCCGGTGTCTGCGCCTCAATATTCATCGCTTCCCTCTGACAGGCTGGAGCCCGCTTCACGGCCGCAGCCCACTGGCACCCACACCTGAAATGGCCGCCAAGGCTTCGGTCTCATTCCGTCACGTGACGGGATCACGGGGGCGCGGTAGCCCGACGCTCTCTAATGAGCTCTCCGGGGCAGCGTCTGCGCCAGCCGCGCTTCCGGCTCCTAGAGTGGGGAAGTGACAGGGAGCGCCCTCTCCCCGCAGGGTCTGCTCGGGTGCGCCGCCCCCCCCAGCTTCCAACCCGCCTCTGGTCTCACGCGGCCCTTCCCCGGCAGCTATTGCCCCAGAGGCCTGGACGCTCTGCCGCTCTCCCTGGTGCTGGAGCCCCCCGAGCGGCTCGATAGCCCCGTCTGGGGGGTGCGGCTCGCTACGCGAATTCGATCGTTCCCCGCCCGTTAAACGTCTATTCCCCCTCCCAATTTATTCCCCCTCCCCCGTTGCCGTGGGGCGGGCCCGGAGCCCACCCCGCTATCGCCATGCCCGCCGCTGCGGCAGCGCCGATTATCCGCTGCGTGCAGAAGCTGGTGCTGTACGAGACCAGAGCTGTAAGTAACCGCGGCGCCTCCCCCGCCGGCTCCGCCCCTACCGCCCGCGTGCCGGGAGGGCGGGCGTCTGGTCTGGGGGACAACAACTGAGCCGAGGCCATAGCGGCTTCTGCAGGCTCTTGAGTAACGTGGAGTCCGTCGTTCACCTTCCTCTGCAGGAGTGGGTTACAGGTTCACTAACAGTGGGATGTTGTCATGGGTCATACATGTACCCCCAGGCCAGCCCCCCCCTTCTGCCCAAGGTCCTGCCCCAGACGCCCCTCCCCGGCCAGCCCCATGCCTCCGGCGTCAGGAGAGAAGGGGAGCGTGGGTGAGGCTAGGGCCTGGGTGTAGGGAGGCTTAGCCCCCCCCCCCGCCTACCCACCTGCACATGTGTGTCCCTACTGAGAGCATTTATTAGTATTATTTCTGTTAATTGCTGTATTGTAGCACTAGGAACTCCCAGGTTTGCCAACTGTCTAATCACATAAACCAAAATACCCTTGCCCTGCCTCCTGCTGTGCCCCTTCTCCGAGGCCCCACCCTGCTCACTCCATCCCACTCCCTCCCTTGCTTGCTCTCCCCCACTCTCATTCACTTTAATGGGGTAGGGGCAGGGAGTTGGGATGTAAGAGGGGGTGTGGGCTCTGGGAGGGTATTTAGATGCAGGAGGGGGCTCAGGGCTGGGGCAAGGGATTGGGGTGCAGGAGGGGATGTGGGGTGCAGGCTCTGAGAGGGAGTTTGGGTGTGGGAGGGGGTTCAGGGTGGGGTGCTGGCTGCAGGAGGGGGCTCAGTGCTGGGGTAGAGGTATGGAGGGGGGTTGGGGTGTTGGCTGCGGGAGGGGATTATCTCGGGCAGCTTCTGGTCAGTGGCACAGTGGGGCTAAGGCAGGCTCCCTGCTTGTCCTGGTGCTGCTCCCAGAAGCGGCTGGCATGTCCCTGCAGCCCCTGGGAGGGGGAGCCAGGGGACTCAGCCTGCTGCCCCTGCCTGCGGGCATTGCCCCTGCAGCTCCCATTGGCTGCAGTTCCCGGCCAATGGGAGCTGCAGAGTCGGTGCTGGGGTAGGGGCAGCGGCAAAGACTCCCTGCCCTCCCCCAATTCCGGGAGACTCCCGGTGAAACTGGGAGGGATAGCAACCCTAGGAGCCCCAGTGGTGGACCAGGATCCAGTTGTGCTAGGCTCTGCACGAACAGAGCAAGAAGATACTCCCTGCCCCAGAGCGTACAGTCTAGGTATAAAACAAGAGCTAACAGGTGGATAGGGACAGATAATGGGTAAGGGAATACTAGGAAACAATGAGACACTATTGGTTAGCATAATAGGCAGTGATCTTGGCATGTCAGCAGGCATCATGACAAAAGAGAGATTTGAGATGAGTTTTGAAGGAGGATAACTTTAAAACACTACAGTATTCCACAACAGTAAGGGCAAACATTAAGGTGAAGTGCTTCTGTTACTTGCTCTATTATTTTATCATGAGATTAGGTACATGCAAAACAACAAACGTGACTATAGCAACGAGAGGATATCTTTGTTAATAGACTAATGCTTTAATTATATTTCTGTTTTGAATCTGTGGCTCTGAAGGTGTTGCTGTTGTCAATGTCAGTTCATCAAAACCTTGTGTGCAGTGTTGGTCCCAGAATATTAGAGTGACAAGGTGGGTGAGGTAATATCTTTTATTGGGTCAGGTTCTGTTGGTGAAAGAGACAAGCGTTTGAGCTATACAGAGCTCTTCACGAGGTCTCCATGTAGCTTGATATCTTGTCTTTCTCCAACAGAAGTTGGTCCAATAAAAATATTATCTCACTCACCTTGTCTTATTGAAACCTTTTGGGAGGAAATATCCTTTACTAGCCTTTGAAGGCAGATATTACAGAGACTTCTTTCTCTCAAGATAACCTTCATTAGTTTCTGCATAAGAAGGGCATAATCCTAAAACCATTCTGATATTTAAAATCCAGAAAATAAATTCTGGAGTAATATGTTAATAGTTGGTTTGGGGTGTATTTTAAACTGAATTATTAAAGGGACAGCATCAACTTGAAATCTAGCAAGTTTAATACAAACTGGAAGTAGTTTCAGGTTCTAACTGCTGAGGAGTCACAACTGCCAATTTTGGAGGGTTTACAACTATATATTCCTTTCTTTAAAAAGGTTTTCTATTCCCTTTTGTTCTATGAAAGATGCACATAAACAAATTGGCTGACTCTACCGGGGAAACTATGACAATCTCTATGCTACCAACTGCACAAAGTAAATAAAACATTTAGTTTCTCAAATTTTTGTAGCATAGGGCTTGTCCTTACTCCAGTGGTAGCACAAGGTATAACTTGAATGTTGCCTCAACCTGACTTCTGTTCCCACACAAATTGCTAGCTCGAGTAAAGTGGTGCTTTAAATTTAAGCATGTTGGCTCATCATTGGGTGTGGATTGAGGCTCAAATGCTGCTGCTTATTGAGCTAGTAATGCAGTGGTGATTCAGCTACTCTGTGCTATTGAGGGCTTGTCTACACATACAGTACTGCAACAGCGCTGCTGTAGTGCTTAGTGAAGACACCACGTACACCAACAGAATGCTTCTCCCCTCGACATAGGTTCTCCACTTTCACAAGAGGTGTTAACTGTGTTGATGGGAGAAGCCCAGGAGCTCAGTCAATATCACTATCGCTCGGGTGTGGATTTTCCACAGCCCTGAGTGACATAAATTATACAGTAGAACCTCACAGTTACGAACCTCTCAGGAATGGAGGTTTTTGTAGCTCTGAAATGTTGGTAATTCTGAACAAAACTTTATGGCTGGTCTTTCAAAAGTTGATAACTTAACATTGACTTAATACAGCTTTGAAACATTACTATGCAGAAGAAAAATACTGCTTTCCCTTTTTTTTAGTAGTTTAAATTTACCACAGTACTGTACTGTATTTGCTTTTTTTCTTGTCTCTGTGGCTGCCTGATTGTGTACTTCCGGTTCCAAATGAGGTGTGTAGTTGACTGATCAGCTCATAACTCTGAGGTTCTACTGTACTGACATACGTCTGTATGGTGGACCAAGCCTAATATAATCACTCTGTAGCTCCAGTATTGTTGTGCGATGTGCCTGCTCTCCCTTGAGCTAAATCAGGTGGAGTAATTTGAGCTAATTGTTGCAATGAAGACAAGACCAAAGTCATCTTGGGGGCTTCTTATAATAATAGATACAGAATTTTCACACAGATTTCAGCAGTGCTTTGTGTGGTCATAAGATTTCACCCATTTAGAATAAATGTGCAGGGTCTAGGCCTTAGCAGATGAGAACCGGTTCTGCCATTGATAGAGAACTTGGGTTCTATTCCCAACTCAGCCAGAAATGATCTTGTGCAACTTTTCAGATCCTCAGTTAACTCGAAGGGGGAAGGGTTGTTGAAACACACAAAATTGACACCAGTCAGTGGAAGAAGTGAGGTTAGCTCCACAATCCTAACACTGTTTGCTTTCTGCCAGACCAAAAGGTATTTTGTTGGGATTCATGATCTCTCATATAACACTGCTGAAAAATAGCAATGTTTTTGGGACTTCTATTAAACTGATGATAAAAGCTGTAAATTATGCAAGAAAAGGGATAAAAGATTTTGATAAGAAAGGGTTGTGTAGCTCATCTGAGTGAGGGACATAATGTTAACATCTGAGTGAATTTTGAAGTTCATGTTAAAGATGTGCTAAAGGATTACTAAATTTTGTGTGATACTATGCACAAATTTAGAAAGGTATGATTTTTATTTTTACCATTTTATTTTTTTTCAAGAACATTTGCCAAGGTCCAAGGGTCCATCTTTTATTGTTTTTTAAAGCAAGCCTTTGTTTCAGCTGCAGGGAGGTTTTCAGCCACTATTAGTACTTCTCTAAGGTTTTCTCTGATACATTTTTATTTTCCATTTTTTACTTTTGAACTTTGCAAGATATTCATACTTTATTGTATAGACATGACTGAAAATGATATTATAGGTAAGTAGAAATTTTTGAATCAGAAATATTTGTAGGGTTGAAGAACTTACTGTTTTCAGATGCTTTTTAAAACCTTATATTTGTACCATTTTTTATCCATATTTGGTTTCAGTTCTCTTTTGCTTTTAGTCTCAAATGTTATTGTGCACACATTTCAAACCAAAGAAACATCATACATTTGTTACCTGAAACATGCGTTACTAAGAGTTGTTAAAATAAAATTAAAAATCACAGTTGTAAATAAGTCGCCTAAGTTTGTCTGCTGTTTCTCTCCTCCCCCTACCCCCGCATGACAAAATATCACTTGTGATTTGTGTTGATTTCTGTCTTGTGTTCATTTTATTATGCTTCTGTGGTTTGACTTGTTTGCTTACTAATTTCTTTGTTGGCATAGGGGCTTTGTGTTCTTTGTTAGCTCATTTTCTGCTTCCTCAGTCTGCTAATTTTTATGAAAAAAATCTATCATTTTACTTTAATTTGTTTCACTATCATCTTCATGATAGTGTGAAAATGTGACATGGCTTTTTTCTTAATTATACTTTAGAATGTATCTAGATAAACACGGGGGAAACAGGCAGTGTTGTTTGTGGTCAAATAAATAATTAGACTGAGATTACAGGAGTCCCAGAGAACATATTAAGGTAACTGAAAAACAAGGAAGTGGTAAATGGATAGCCAATGAGTACATTGTGTACATAATGCAAAACTAAAGGAGTCTGTAGGATCTTAACAGAAAGAGAGGCTGTTTGAGAGCGTTGGCTTTTTAATTCAGCTCCTAGCTTCAAAGTAAGCAATGAAAGATGGCTTCCATATCCAAATGCATAGCTATATATTATTAGGACAAAAGTCTTGTGGGTTTCTACTGACTCTAAACTTATTGATGCTTGTAGTTTTGGATGTTTAGTATTGTATATATTAAGGCTTAGTCTATACTACCAACTTATGTCGGTATAACTATGTTGCTCAAGGGTCCCACACCCCTCGTATAGACAATATTATGTTGACGGGAGGGCTTCTTCTGTAGACATAGCTACCGC